GTTTGTCGGTGTGACATATTATCTTCCTTATCGTTACAAAGCTCTGTCCACTCAACTGTACCCTCACAAGAAGTTGCAATCAGCTGCAAGTGCAGACTGACAGGAATGGAAAACACACATACATGTGAACACATATCGACATGTGTTATGTGTGATGTGGATATTGAAGAGGCATTGACAGTCAGAATTTAACAATATATTTTAATGCATTACAGATCTTGTGCAAACGATGCACAAAGAAGGCAGTGCACAATACACTGACAAAAGTTTGAACCAGGTATATAACGAATGCATGAAAAGAAAAAGACATCAGTTTTGCATCGCATGTATATCTTCATCATGGTTATTTATTTATTTATTTTATTTAGGAATACTGCAGGCCAATTGTGGCCTGGACATGAATCTCACAGATGGAGGGCACAGAGCATTTAAGGGACTCAAGTGGCACTAAATGTCCCACTTGTTGTATCATGCCACTCAGGAATACTAAAGAAGAATGCATTCAACTGTCACTTGCTCAACCAATTACATGGATGCTCCAATGTTAAAGAACTAGTTTGCAGTAGCCGGTATTGCAGGGTAGCTTCCACAAGAAATTGCTTGTTGTTGGAAAAATATAGCTATGTACATTTGTACCAGAACTTCGAAGTTACTTGATGAATGCAAATGCCCACGTGGCCTAAGAGCAGTAAGAAATGTCACAACCAATACTGCCTCAGCTCAAGATTTCAGCGGCTCTAGGTGCATTTCCTTGCAGGCCCTACGTGCATGTACCCACTTCCATTAGCCAATCTGCTGACAACAGCCTTGCTGACAATATTACTCGCATTTAATCCAACCACCAAGCAAGAAAAGGCCTGCAATGGGCAGACAGAATTTCAATAACGAGAGCGATTGGGGCATTCGCGGATTAGTGCTCCAACCGCCTGCTTTCGTAATCCACTTCAATGTCAAGAGACAGACAAATGAGACATTTGTTTCTTGGACATAATCAGAAAGGAGAACAGTAAGTACAAAGGACAGGACGGGCAGTTCTTCCAACTTATTTAATGTACCATTTCCTATCAACTGTTGCGACTGTTTTGCCCAAGGTGCCCTCTTAAAATCCAGTCATATTTCTTCCCAATTCTGCCTTTAAGGAGATACTGAATCGGAACTTAAAATACACCTGTCACGTTCAGAAATAAGGTAAACATGATCAACTCTATCTGCTAATGACAATCGCACGCTTGTATTTCAAACGGATAGCTGCATTTTTCGTTCCAAATGTTAGATTCTGGCAAGCGCCTCAAAATCAGCCATCGAAGAGCGCAATGCGTCTTAAGACGACCCTTGCACTCGCCACTTGCCTGTTACGCCATCGTAGTTATGAGCGGTGGCGTCAACGCGTTACTACCCCTAATAGTCAAAGTGTCCGAGGGCTGTAACATACATATCACCGGGGAACTGCAGAGCTGGCGGAGTAGTGCACGCCACGAAAACACGTAGTCTCCACCGTAACATGGCCGATATGGCAACATCGGCAATGTCTGTTTTGGGCACGAGCTTGATGCTCCTTGAATATGACGACATTGTCACGAGGCGGCTAAGGTATCTCTGTTATCTCGCACGAGGCGAGATGCCGGTAGATTTTATCTCATGTTGTCAAAGGTGACGGCAGGACCATGCGTGACATGCTGCTTACCTGATTTATCACCACTGACCGATCACAACAAACAGACTTGGCGAGGGCACCAACTTTACGGACAAATAAATATCACTTTAAAGGTACCTTACCAGTGGGCATCGTTCGTTTATTAAAGCGAGCGGGGAAGCAAGCCGAGTCCGGTGAGGCAGCACGGCAAAATCGATTATGGTGCGACTCCAGCAATCGTCACGCTACCGCGAAGAAACGCATACACCACGACGATTTTGCAACATTCCTCGTCACAGGGGCAAACACTAAACGAATGAAGGGAAGGTGTCGGCGCAGAGGAGGCTTGCGCTGGCCTTGACGGGACGCGGTCGTCCAAGCGAAGGCATGGAACACAAGGAATGCGACTGTACAAGTCCCACATCGTCCCGCAAAAACTACCAGAAAAAAAAAAGCTTGCATTGCCACGATATTGCAACGCGACTTATCTCAATGGCAAACACTAAACGAATGAAGAGAGGCCACTGGCACTGTTTTCATCGGTCTCATCCAACGAGGCTTATGCGATCGTTCAAGTGAGGGCACTTAGCTTGTCGACGGCGACTAAGTTGGACGGCGAGATGATTGCTGAATTCTCACATCGTAGTGCATAAACCACTGTGCACAAAAGCGGATGTCGGAACAGCTTTGAGACATAAACTTCGGTCAGTTTGAGAGGTTGGCGTCCCTCAGCAAAAATGACGTTGAAAGCAGCGCGCGCCATGTTGAAAAAGATGGTTTGTCAAGCCCTGATGTTAGTGACGTCAAGTAATGAGCGAAAGCCACTGGCTGGTGCATTTGAATCCAAGGTGGCCAACTGTACCTTGGCTTTCTTCACTAAACCTTTGGCTTTACGTTCTGGATTAGGTAATCTATACTAGTGAACACACTTCCCATATAGTGGCACTGCCGTCTGAGGCCAATGCCATCACGACATTCCATCGAAGCTTCACAGACATCAACTAGGTGATACTTTGGTTATTCGCGACTCCAGCGACCTATAGGGGGCGCCACCACCAAACAAACATGGCGGCTGAGTCCAGGTCGCGGCGGCTCGGCCGGGCCGCCTGAACAGGTGGCGCGTTCAATTTAACAGATTTTCTTTTGTTTAATGCCCTATTTTATAGGCATTTGAACTGAGACGGTTAAGTGTAGCCGGTGCAGATAAACTTGCAAAGTATAGTTTTGGTTTGCTGGTGTTTTTTTGTTCTTTTCGTGTCAAACTTTCGTTTCGGAGATTTCGTTCAAAACCGAAACTATGGGCTCCGGATAGACGGTAATATACTAATCAGTTTGGATCATCTAAGGAAAGCGGCGATAACTATAGAATTGTTCCACAGAGAGTAACTTTTCAGCTAACTCGCATGCCTCGACCATGCGACTTATCTGTCCGCGAAATCGAGCTTTTGTGCGTATCCGCGTTTACGAAACAGCTCCAGTCGTCTGCTCGGTCAACAACACAGGCTGCAGGATAATTACGAAAATTAAGCAACCGCTTCTTGAGCCAAAGACCATGTTAACCCGCCGGCGCCCCACTAAACAGCTGATACTCGTATTTCAATTCAGGTTTTAGTAGCAATCGGGAAGTCATTTTGACGAGCGGGTTATGTATTATATTACGTACATGGTCCCACTAGAGCGATATTAGTATATCCTTCGGGTTGAAATATGAGCTTAGTTGACTAGCTATTAGGTGAGCTGCTGAATAGAAGTATATTTGACAGACGGAGACATACTACTTAAACTTAGCCAAATGGTTCTATAGCCGGCAGCACGGAGACAAACTGAAGAGAGTCTTCATTGAAGATCCACGCAGAACACCTCTGCAATGAACTTTGCTTCGACCAATGTAAACGTATATTGCTGCTGGCTTCGACGTCCTCGTAATATAAATATTGGAGGCGCGATAGGTCAAAATGCCGTGACAGCATCTAACGTTGCGAGACTTGTCTCCCACCTTTTGAAAACAGATAATTTCCCTCATTCATCATCTGCAGCGAGCAAGTTTTCCTGAATCAAGTAATTGCGAAATCAGTCCAACTCCTTCAGTGTGGTCCAGAGGCTTTTTCGGCGAAAAGCAGCCGAGATGAATAGCCAACGCACCGACCGGCGTGGGTGGCTCAACTTGAAGCTAACCGAACACAACCAAACTCAAGAAAAGCAGCTATCGAACCTTCCCATTCACTTGACTGCAACATTGATGTTCCCTCCAGTATCAGTTACCAAGCATTCGTCACTTTGAATGATATTCGAGACAGAAAAGAAATTAAAAAGTTTTTCTGTAATTCCTCCCCATCCAAGAAATCGAAAGCACGCGACCGTGTGCTGTGGAGTAAACGGGCTTTCAAACACGTAATAGAAGAAAACAATCTACTGAGGCTTCACCACACTAATGATCACTCAGGCAAACTTAAGAAATATTCGGACCTCCGCCGAATTACATTGTTCGCCACCGCGCCGACAACGCGCGTCTCCGCGAAAGCCACCAGAGACGCGGAGGGGCGCGGAGCGACCTGGACCGGCTGGTTCCCGGTTTTCCCGCTTGGCGGCGTCCGTTTTGCTGGAGTCGCGAATAGTGTAATTCACTTTAAAATATGCCTACTTGCATTTTCCAACAAAACATTAATGTTTCTGAGCTTATACCACTACCAGCGTCATGTTGAACCAAAGAAATTAGCTCCAGAATTTGGTTTCCGTAACCCTTCAAAAACTGAGGAAACTAAGCCCTTGAAGTTACGCTTAAACTAGCACACAAATTAAAGAAAACAGAGGTGCCAAAAGTACACCAGAAAACCCAGCTATTAGAGGGCGACTGCAACAGAAGTAACAAATTGCTTGCAACGCAGTACGGCTTCGCTAAGAACACAGAGTTACTATAATAATTTAGAAAGAAAAGTCCCACGCATTCCGGCCGCTTGAGAACATTGAAGCACTGACACCGACATTGGTGGTCCCTACGGGGCCATATTTCTGGTGACATAACATAACTTGCAAGGTCTGGATCTAGCGTTTTACTAGCTTTATTCTGTATTAAAACACCGCGTCAGACTAAGAATTAATCAAGTCAACGAGCCTTTGAACTTCGACTTGTTGTAGCAAAACTAACACACCTAGTATATCCTATCGTCTGCTTTCCTTTGCTCCCTTTGTTGTCTTTTTCTCTCAGGACCAGAGGCGTAGGTGCTTACAATTTAAAGTGTTTTTACTCTTCTGGCAAAAAAGGGTGCACCTTTCTTGCCTGTTGTGGAAAATCGTAAGCGAACCGGCGTCAAATGCAAGCTGAAAACCACCAATTCAAAAGAAGGGGACGAACGAAACTGCTCCTCACCTTTTGAAGGTAAGGTACTCTCGAAGGGCTCGGAGAAAGTGTTCGTGGCGGCGCTCGAGGAAGACGAAGGTCGGCACCAGGCTCCCATCACTGAGGTTCAGGCTGAGCTCGTGCATGCCGTTGACTTGCCGGCATTGGTACGAGTTGAGCTCGCTCACTTCGAACTCAATCGGCGGGGGCACGGCGGCAGCACTGCCCTTCTCCGCCTTGATCTTCACAGACTCTGCGGACCAGAGGAGAGTTAGAGCAGAGTTGAGTGCGTTTGCAAACAGAAGAAGCTACGGTACACTCCGTTTCACATTATACAGTAAACTTCCAATAATTAGACCTCGACGGGACCTTGAAATTAGGTTGAATTATTTGAATGATCGAAATAAAAAAAGGACAGAAAAACAGCTAAAACTAAACTTCCTTTTATTGTCCATAGTACTCACGAATGGTCTGCTGCCGTTTTCGCTTAAAACGCGTCTCCGAAAGCATGCTCCGGAGAGCAACGTAACTAAATGTGATATCCCCAAATATTGCATACTAAAAAAAAAAACTGAGAAGATAAGTTTTACACAAAGAGAAATAAAAAAAAGGAAAAGATAACCCGCGCCTTTTGACGTGCAAGATGGACCGCACACGATGCTAAGCTTTGAGAGCGTGCGTCGAGAAAGCTTTACAAGCCAACTTTGGCGCCAAGCAACCAAACCGTCAGAGACGATAGAGAAAAGGAAAAGAGATTTTGCACTTTTTCGAGGGCAAGATTGACCACACAGGATGCTACAGAAAAACAGAAATGCGCTTTGAAAGCGCATTTCTCTGCGCCCGACCCCGTACTATGTTCTCTGCGCTACTCCACGCCAGATTGGTTGTGCTGTATCGTATTAATCGCTACAGTCCATCTCAACGGCGTACAGGAACAGGCACATATTTGCGCATGTTCAGCTTCGTAGCAAAGGGCCCGTGTTTCGCCGTATGTTGGTGGTTTTCCTGCTGCGGTGCCCTGCAATGTGAGCCCGCACGTATTCGCTCAGGACGAATTATCCGATGCGGAGTCTTCCCAAGTTTCAACTGTCAAGCTTTTCCTGACATAGAAATGTATGGGCGCTCGCCGAGACTTTTGAACACGATCGAATTAAACGAAAAGTCTAATTAACCGAGGTCGATCTAACGAAAGTTTACTGTACCAATAAATCCCGTACAAATGCCCTCACGCTAGACATTACCCATCCTGTTTTTCTGACTGAATATCCACAACATAAAAATTCCTAAACATCACCTGCGCCACCTATTTCCGTCAGATATGCAATGTCCGACTGGAATCACATTAACCGCGCAATCTGCATTACCAGTACGAGCGAGTTGGTAGCGGGCTTCTGAGTGTTTATCGCTACGTGAAATGCGAATATGCCATGTCCGCAATCCGTGGTATCCGCTCCCAAGACAGAAGAGTTAGTGGCGAAATTCCAAGCTTTCCGACCGCGACCTGCGCAAGCAATATTGGTTCTCACGATACGTGAGCTCGTAGCGGCTTCCCGCGCATTTATCGCGCCTTGAAGCGCGAATCTGCCGAGTCCGCAATCTGCAGCACCCAGTCCCGTGACGCAGCAGTTTACGGCGAATTCCAGCGCGTTTACCGCACCGTGGAATGCGAAACTGCTGCATCCCTGATCTGAGGTACCGGTTCCCGTAGTTTGTAGCCCACGCCCTGGTGTCCACTGACGATTTCTGACGAAATTTTGCCATCGCATTCCCCAAAGATTGCTTGCCCCATATTTTTGGTCGTTTATTTGTTCATTTGGGGTGGGCGTTCTTACGGGACATTACGGCAAGTCCGGCCACAACCCGTGCTACGATCCAACGAAGAAAACAAAGCAGGGCCAAAAGTGCATCATCGCAGCGCAGAATTTATCTAAAAAAAAAAAATATTTACTGCATGCCGGCAGCCTTCTTCAAGGGATGTTGAACCGAAATCTGGATTCCACAAAACACGCAGAAAAAGCGTGCAACGAGATGCTACAAACACCAAAACATCACTCATACAGCAATATCTCAAACGGATGACCATATTTAAAAAAAAAAAAGGCGCATTTGACAGAAATGTTTACATCATGTTTCTCCGAGAAAGAGGGGGAACGGCCTCGCGTCTTCTCCGCCTCGCCGCCTCGAGGGGGACAAAGCGAAGAGAGGAGGAAACGAGATATATTCACGTCACGCGCCTCGTCAGCCTGGTTCAATCTTGACCTCGTTTTTTAAAGATACGGCCGTCCATTCGAGATATCACCTTACGAGTAGTGTTGTAGGGATTGTAGCGTCCCACCTACATCTCCTGCATTGTTTTTTTCTGAAATCCAAATTTCGGTTCACCGTCCCTTTAAGTCGGCAGGAAGCGAATTTTTACCTTTTTCTTTTGCTTAGGGCAGTTTTGCGTTCGTTTAAAGGGGCACTGACACACCAAAGGTTGTGTACTTTTTTTTTTTGTTTTGTTTAAAACGATGCAAGTTGAAATTGTGGACACAAAAAAAAAAAAATTGCGAACAAAAATTTTATTGCGCGCGCGCACGTGCCTTTTTATTTTTGTTGCTTTTCTCTCTCACTTCTTGCCTCCTCGCTTCTTTTGATTGGTGACGTCAAAAATCATGAAATTTAGAATCTTTGTAGGCGACATTTCTATAACATTTAACAATGGCAATCGTAAAACATGCTTAACGCAATTGCAAACGCACTATGGCCCCTCTTCATGAAATACCAAAAATCGGATTTTGGTGTGATGTCGCTTCCTGGATTTGTATCCTCCCTCGGAAAACTTGGCGGCACTCGAGCAGAGATGATCGGTGAGTCGGGGAACCGGACGAAGAAACCGTTTTTTTCCCAGTCCACCACCACTTCAGGTCGCGGTGGCAATGGCGCTTTGCTTTGTAGCGTGGAGTGGAGGTCCGAGAGAAAGTCGACTTGCAGAAGACCACAAAATTCGACGTCACTGCACTGGCGCGGATCGTGCGGGAACTTCAATTTCGACATTTGGAAATTGTTTTTTTACTTCTCAAATACCGAATTCCCAAGTTACGAATTTCGAGGGTAATGCCCCGGCATCGTTTTCAATCGTTTCGGATAATAAAATTTAAAAAAATGATTGTGATGTGTCAGTGCCTCTTTAAAAGGTAACTCTGGTATTTACTTTAAGGTTGCGACTGTTTTGAGAGCAGGAGGTGCTCCTGAATTATGAGGTACAATTTATTTTTCAATCAATGCCTTGTGTAGTTTTGTAGTAGATACCTTATCTAAAAGTTTTGTTTCGGAGGTCTACGGCGAAACTGAAACTCCTGGCTCGAGAAGATGGCAACCCTGGTGATAACCTGCTCACAAAGTTATGGGGAGAAAATTGGCTTACAAGGGCGGGAGGAATCGTACGTTTGTCTTTTTAAACTTGGGCTAGGTGACGCAAGCTACCGCCTTTACGAAGGGTATAGCCACTAACATCCATCCATTCAGCCATCGTGCGACGCAAAGTTTGTACTGCCGTACTCGAAAACAAACGACTGACCAAGGATCTAGTCACAAGAGCAGTTCCAAACAGTCAGGTAAGATGCTATGGCTGTTTTACTGCTTTGCAGATTACATCTGTAGCAAATATTAATAAACACTGCCAGCTGAAAATCGAGTTTGCTGCAACAAATAGGTCGTATTCACTGGGTGCAATAATTGACGGCGGCATCTGTAACACAGGCTCAGGATGAGCCCCCCCCTTATCATCCAAGAAAACAAATCGCGGTGGCTTTGCTCAGCTATGCCAGGATATACGTAGCATGAGCTTATGCGCACAAAATGAGAGGCTCTACCAAGCGGCTCCGGTGCAGCGTCAGACTTGGCTGCTGCGCAACGGAGGCGCACAGCTGGGCACGCGGTGGCGCCAGTGCGTCTGTTGCGGCTATGACGTCACTCCTCTGGAATGCGCAGACCGGCAAGGCGGGCGCGACGGCGGCTCCGGCGCGTCAGCTGTGCGCCGGCGGCTCCGGTGTGCTGTGTGACGTCACTGCTCCTCACCCGCGTCCAGGTTGCACGGCGGGTTGTTTTCACAACCCTCAGCACAGCAAGCAGTGCTCGGCATTCCACAATGATGCCAGTACCTTGGGCTCCTTGAACTTCGGCACCACAGCACGCTTGAGGGAGCAGGGAGTCGATAATCTTTGTGTGCAATCGCCGAGGATCACATACAATGGACGGTTACTAAGACATGATGTATCAAGGAAAAATCGTCCACTAGGACGGCTGAAAATGAACCAGAAAAGCATGGCGAAAGAAGTGGCAGTACGAACAGGTAAACTCCTTGAGCAGGAACATGATGCCGAGGCACAAGGCTGCTTGACAGACAGCCAACCCACTGAATGCCCGCTGAGAAGCTGGTTGGTGGTAGCATTTTTAATATTGGTTTTAGAGTGGATCGCGGTTTTCCATTATTGCAATATTTTGGCGTTGCTCGTATTTGTCTCTGTGAATCAATATCAGTCATTTTGGCTCGACTTTTGACTGGAGTTACCTTTAACATAGCCGAACAACTCACCCTCATTGGAAGTGCCACTTACTCTAGATTTAGCCTGTAGAAGCCTCCCAAGTGTAAGGGTATCAGTGGCTAGGTGAAGTCCACACATCCCAAAAGAAAAAAATGCAGAAAAACTGATATGAGCAATCTTATCGATTGGGACCCGAAACAGATCTGATGGTTGGTCCTGCCCGGTGACATGATATTGTGCTACACTCAGCAGCACCCTTCTGACGGTATCTTCCACATGAGATCATATTGCTACTTTGGTGCTCTTCTTTATTATCATTTCCTTTAGTTCTTGACAGTTTAGATGTCAAGGAATGCCTGCGACCAAAGTTAGTTTGCGCAAAAATGATGCAAGCTTATAGCTTTTGCCAGGGGAACTACAAAGTCTCAAGGAGGAAGGTGCTACCTATGCTAGAGGTGATGTTAGTGTGCCTGATACTGATAAAACTTAGAGAAACCCAAGGTTGAAGCATGGAATGCATTTCTTTCATTTTTACTTTTTGGCAGGAAATGTATGAGGATATGTACCCTCTGATGTGTTCAAAGTGTAAAGACTTCATCCAGGGGTGTCCTGGATTGAGAAACAAGTTAAGGTGTTCATAATCTGTAATAAACTCACTCCTTCATGATGAAAACTAAAAATTTTAGAACACAAATTTGTGAAAATGTTTTGTCCTATTGTTTTTCTATAGAATTGCATTTTCTGCGCTTAAATTTTCCCTTAGGATACATGGTTATCTATGTACACATTATGTACAATGACATATAGGTAGAGATTGGATGTGATCCGTGAGACCAGCAAACACGTCGCTTAGCACAATCACTTCCAATACCTCCTATTGGGGAGGAGGACAGACCGTGACGCCCCAAGCGGTTAACTTATCAACTACACGGATGGGGACAACAAATACAATGACTCGGCGCTCGGCCGACATAACCGAACGCGGCGTCAGCGTTCGGCTGGAGTTCGTGTTCTCCGGCGAGGGGGAGGAGGGGCTTCTTTGTTTCAACAACGGCCTGCACGAACGATGCAGCATGCACGATCCCAGCTCAGCACAAAAGCCGAAGTGGGTCAAGCTCGCATTCTCTGAGGATAGATCCGGCACTCAACGTCGCTTCGTCGATTGTTAGTATTTTTTACATTAAACTGTGCCCAGCGCTCTATTGTAGAAGATGACATGGCCATGCCCATAAGGCCTGTTGGCATGTGCACAGGCCTTGTGTTGAGTAAACACCGAGCGTGGGGAAAACAAACGGGTCAGAGCGCCCCCTATAGTTCGATCTCCTGCCCAATACAAGACGTCGACTTTGTTACCACCAGCCGCCATCCCTCAGCAATGTGCTAGTATAGTCCGCAATTGAGGCAAGGCACGCATCGCGCTGACGCCGAGTAACTCGTCATGGCTACTGCCTTTCCCAGTCGGTCCGTAAATCAATTCGATGTCGTGGCCGGTACATGGCGGTGTTTATTAATGCACAATTGCATTCTCACAGAAGCTATCTTTGATTTGGCCTCGAAAGAAAGTGAACGACCAACTGCCGAACACTTCCACCACAAACTATGCCAACCACACACACAAAAAAAAAATGGAAAAAGAAAGAAGCAGAAGGGACACTTCAAGATGTTTTTGCTAACTTCACAAGCTTCTAAAAAAAAATAAAAATGGGAGAAAAAGAGGATGTGGCGACACCAGCACGGGGCCACGTGCCGGCAAGGCCAGGACCGGAATTGGCGTCCACCACGTTCCTGATAAAATTCAATTCTGCGCACGACAGTTTAGTCAAACGTTTCTGCCTCATTCTTCGCGTACGTTCGACTCTGGCGGTTGTTGCAGTTTACGAAAGGCGAAGTTGTTCCCTCACGCAGAGATTTTGCGCTGCCTTTGCGGGACGGGTGGTAGGTGACCGTGCTGTCGGCAGACAGGTCCTCCCAGAGGTCGTCCGGGTCGTCCGGGCACTGGGGCTTGGCGGGGGAGGGAGGGTAAGGCACCCACGACACCACGAACCCATGGGGCTGCGGAGAAAGCGTCCATGCCCGATTCAGAAGCACGTTCGCCTCACTCTCTCGACTGACAGACGCGGCAGGAATGACACACTTTTTACAAGCGTCGCATTTGTAGCGTAAGCTCCACACTAGGGCAGTAATTCAATTACAGTAAATGAATGGCTGTAATTACTTTTCCGGCTAATTTGTACTTGTAACTACCATAAAATACCGGGGGAGCATCCACTGCCCCTTTCACTAAATGGCAAAATTTCGCGACCGCAAAACATTCTAAAAACTTGCTTTTCGAAAAAAATTTGTGAAATACCGGGCCCAAAAAAACGAAGTCACTTACAGTAACTGCTTTATAGACTGAGTGAATGTAGAGCCCGTATTACAATTACGACAACTCGTTAATCATTTTGCTCTCGCTGGAGCTTTGCCCTGTAGGTCACTGTAACTGACAGGCAAAATACACTGAGCGTGCATCATCACTGTAACTTACAGGCAAAAATACACTGAGCGTCCATCATTGCGCTTCGGTCAACTCTTGGAGCTCGGAAAGCACCGAGACTGCGGCAGATCACCGACCGCAGATGCACGGCTGAGTAACCGTCCAGGCCACAGCAGAGAGGCACATAAAACAAGTGCCCTCCATTATCGGGATGGACAAGCACAAAAATAATGCGGTTGCTATATGCACACTGAACTCGTGGCTCCTGTCGTTCATTTCAGGAAGAATCACAATTTTAAGCTTCCATTAATTGTGGTCAAATATGAATTGGATTTACTTCACATCGACGTGATAAAAAAACAAAAAAGTAATGCTACCAATCTTGGTGATGATGCGAAGTAAAAAAACTGACTGTACTAGGTGCCAATGGTTTTTTTGTCTCACATTGTCAAGATTAGCATACTTTCCACGGTGCTGCAGTGTCACACAATTGTGGAGCACGGCGGAAACAACACCAGCCTCGACCACGTGGCACAAATACATTGACGCCACGTGTCATACTAAAACTCCACTTCTCGTATCGTGCTATCGGTGAAACGGGGGTACAAAAAGGGGACAAATGTAAAATGTGCATAAGGAATCCTCGACAATCGGACAGGAAATGAGTAAATGCGTCTCAGAGCAGAAAAATACTGTCGCATCAACACTTAGAAGTTGGGTAGTTGTGAAAGCAAAGTAAATGTGAAGTAATTGCTTTGCAAAGTAATTGCAAAAATTATTGCTCAAGTTATGACGTGGCGAATTTCGGTAGTTACGAAGGTATTGAAATTTGCCACGTCAAAACCAGAAGTGTTTCTTTTTTAGTCCAGCTATTCTTTTGGTTTACATTAACAATGGGCTGCGAATCTCCCAACGGAAATGTGCCATGTAAAAAAAAGAAAAGTGAAAAAGTTTGTTAGCAAAGGTTAAGCCACTAATTGTTTGTACTAGTGAAGCCGACGTCCGTTGCAGTCGATAATGGTATTCTGCAGAAATACTTTCTTTATTTCTAGTGTCTATGTATGAATCTTTTCTGTCTCAGAAAAACTGCCCAGTATAGACCTTTCTAGCGGCAGTCTCGAACGAAGCGATTTACAGCGCGCGTCCCTGGTTTTGAGAGGGTACATCAGTGTTGCCCGACTGCGCTGGGCTGTGGGTTTTCTAGTCAGTGGGCTGTGGCAGCCTGCTTGGGCGCACTTCCGAACGCTGGTGGAGGCTACATTGCTGCGTTCTATTTTTTTATTGTGCGTTCTATGGCGAATAAAATTTCTCGGGATTTTAAGAATACACTGTACTATTTTTGGGAACAAAACAAAGAAATGAAAGCTGTTTTGGTGAGTCTATGCGTGACAGAACAAATGCAACTGGAATGTTTGTTCCATTTTATGCTGATCTTTTTACGGCATCATACACTCTGCCGTGTCAATCTACAAAGGTCTTAATTGTTGAAAAAATTTGACCACACAGGATATGTAGACTGCATGGATATTCCCCGCCCACAACATGAAATTCAACAAGTCTCATCAATCGAACGACACATATTGTACGTACGCCACGGTGCCGCGTTATCCGAACAGGGTTTGAGAAATGTCTCAAATAACACAGCATATCCAATATACAGTGTCGACGATAGTCACTTCAAGACGATCGGACGGAACCAGGCGTGTTTTGGGGCACATGTAGAAGAGAGCTGGTTTTTTGCACAATTTCAAAAACAAATAATCGAACGTGTCTATTCCGTCCCCACACCTCGGACCCGACCCTATCAGCTATTTTTCTCGAAGACCCGGAACATAGCCGGGAAGGCTACGTTCCGGGTTATCTCAACAGGAATAATCCTCCAAGAGGATTATTCCTCTTGGAGGATTATTTCAGGAACATGGCCGGGAAGGCTACGTTCCGAGATTATCTCAACGGAAATAAACCTCCAAGAGCGTCGAACTGCCCACATTGCGGGCTGCTCGACGGTCGCTCGTTTCCTGCGAAGGCCGAGCAGGCTGCGAGCCCTGGTATTCCCTGGTTCTCGCAGTGGAAGATAACACACAAAGGGTAAGCATCCTAAACAGTCAAATAAAGTAAAAACTCCCAAGAAAAGCCGGCAAACTCCGAATGCACAATGCAGTTGGGGAGTCGCGCTCACCGGGTTTCCACAGCTCAGGCAGGTGGCAGAAATTTCTGGCTGATAGGGGTCGCTCGATTCGCAAAATGGCGGCGGCCAGAGAGCTAGCCTGCTTTATTACTTTAGCTTTGATACTGCTAGGGCAACATATCCCATCGTGTCCGCTGGGGGAATGAAAACAAGGTACACTTGAAGAGTATTGCCAGACTTCCCCAGAAATATTTTACATTTCTGTGAAGAAGTAATTTACAGTGAAAGAGTTACTAATTTTAATTTTTGCGAATTCTGCAACTCGAAAAACGTTGCGAAAATTTGGTCTCACAAGTATATCGCCCCATGTGAAAATAAAGTTGTTTACAGCATAGTAGTTTGTTCCATATTTCATACAATATAAAAGAAAACAAACTTCTAATGATTTAGCTTGTCCACGTAAAATAATACACAGGATAAATCCTGCACCTGCCGCCTGCCAAATGGTGTCAACTCGTTTTCGATATCCGCGCGTGTTGCGTGTAACAGTCGAACTTCAGGCAAACTCTGCGTAGTTTGAAAAGTCGAACGTGGTTGATCTCGGACCCCGGCAGGTTTGGGACATCCCTAGTATCGACACGACACATATGACGACCCCTCAAGCAACTGAAGAATTTTAACCTGTAAAACTCAAAACTCTGACAAGAAAAAAAACAAAAATTGTTTCTGAAGAAAAAGATGCAAGAGCTCTTGAACTCCAGGAGTCTGAGACATTCTCCTCTGTGTCCTTTCCAACTCAAAAGTACCTTGTTCTTTTTTTGTTTCTTAGCTCAGTTTCGGGTTTAACACCCGATGATAAGGGCTCGGTATTTTGGGGTTTTTCTGTCTTCCAACTTGAAGCTTTTTTTTTTTTTTTTTTTTTTTTTCGTTTTGGGGGGGTATTTTTTTTATATAGTCAGTATTTTTTTATGTCGGACAAAAATTTGGTGTTTATTGGGGATTATGTAGAAGAAAACGGGACATGCCTGTAGGGTCTTCTAAGCTCTAGGAAACATTCACATGTGCTGAGTACTGGAAACGAGCCAGTAGCTTGTGTATTTAGCGAAGTATAAGTAAGTTTCCCACGTAGCTTGATGGGCTTTTCTTATTCAAGGGCAGCCCCCATTTCTAATTTTTTGCAATTCAACCCCCCCCCCCCTCCTCCACCTTGATTTCAATAAAACTTGCTTCGGGGTTCGTTTTCAGGGTTCATCAATACTCACCAGAAACAGGGAACCCCAATGATGATCAATTACCAACTGCCTTTCTAGATATTGAGTCACTTTCTAAAGTTATCCCTAAAAACTTGGGGTGCAATAAAATTCACACTGCTCCAGGATTGGCCATCTGCAGGGATGGGCGGTATTTCAAATACAAGTATTTGAAATATGCATTTCAGATACTTTCGTGTATTTTGCATTTGTATTTAATTACAAATTGGATAATGCATTTGACATGTGCATTTAAATACTAAAACGTGGGTATTTCAAATACAATTGTAATGAAATACAATTTTGTGGGCGAAAATACATCCCTCAAATTTATTGTCACTGTGTAGAGCAGGAAGAAAACTATGTTCTGCACCGAATGCAGTGGCTCTCAATCAAGCACAAACGTTTAGTGACTTTGTGATTACGGTGCTAGTCCAGGGCAAGAATAGTGACGAAATCAACGTTCACAGGCAGACTGGCTAAATAAGTGCCTGTGACAACTTGCGATGCTTTCCAGCCTGATTTCCATCCATATTTTTGCCTGGAACATTCTAAATGCACGGGTCGTCCAGATTTTCGTAACTGGTGCGAGTTGCCACAATAAAAAATTCTCTAGCTAGTGCTGCGCGTCTTGGTCGTCTCGGTTCTTTGTTAGTCTATACCAAAATGTAATCGACAAAAAAAAAAAAAAAACTGCTTGAAGCTTTGTACTTTTTTCACCTATTACGTCCAAGCTGATTACATTTTTTGTGTGATTATATTTCTATTACGTTACTAGAGCCTTGCACACTAACTCCCGAGTGTGCGATGCAAAATTAAAATGAGATACCCAGAAACCCGTTGCAGGTGCCCTGAAGTCGCTGACGCAAATTTTGAGGAATGTATTTGGAAAAGCATTTGGAGGAGACCAAATACATCTGGTTGTATTTGTATCTTGTAATTAAATGCTTTTTTGGAAATGTAATTAGATTTGTAATTAAATACATTTTTGACGAAGTATTTTGTATTTGTATTTTGATACATATTTGCATGTATTTTGCCCATCCCTGGCCATCTGTATAGTTGTTAAAATGTGATGAAAACATCCGCGGGAAGGGCAGAGAATCACCTCTCTCGAGATTTCCAGTTTCCCGCTGACAGCTTCCTCTCCACGGGGACCCGGGAAACGAACCGAGACGGAGTCTTGCGTGTACAACACCTGAAAGCAAACAGGGCAGGGTCAAAAGACTGGACTGAGAAATGTTTTCTTTACGATTTTCCATCACTTGCACAGTTTCCACCAATATAAAAGACCCGCTCGAAGCGTGTGGCTGAGACCACGGCTGGTGCGGAGACCGCTCGCACCTTTAGGCCATTCCACGTTGATCCGAAGGAAGAGAGGGCAAAAGAGTCAAATTGGACGTTTAGAGATTTATACAGCGTAAGGTCATTCTGCCAGGATGAGGCGATACTATATTTTTGCCAGTGCAGTACGACTGCTAACCTGGGGTCTTTAACGTGCTCACGCAGTAGGGATACACGACCGCACACCTGTACGATGCTCATCCAGATCAAAACAGGCAAAGGTGGGGCTTGAACCCAGGATCCCCGGGTTCTGCAGCGCGAGCTTTCGCTCCACATGCTCCGAGCTGGGTGTGCGCTTTAGCCCACTCGGCCACCAATCCCCCGGGAAGGGAGGGCAGTTCATTGTAACGTGCGGATTCAGTTTGGCCTTCTCACTGAGTTGCGCTCCCGTGAGAGTGATACGAAACTGTCGATAGTGCATACAGTGCACCCTGACCAGCCGCCGTCTCGGCCACGCGCTCCGAGTGGGTTTTTCTTAATGGTGGAAACTGCACAATGTCGGATCCCACCGTACACCAAATTCTCACAACTCAAAACAACTAAGATGAAATCACAAGCACCAACTTAAGCTCCCGAAATGTAATGCTGACGCAAACATGTATTCACCTTTTTCTTCCAAACAATCAGTGATCGAAATAACCTTCTCCAGGATATTGAGTATAGCCTGCTAGATGCGTTTTTTTTCTTGTTCCAGTCACAAATGTGATAATGAATGCTCAAGTGTTCCGATTTATTTTTTGCGTTAGAGGAGTGTAGAATGTATCAATCAGCTTTTTTTTATTATTATTTTCTTATTATACATTAATGGTAGACCTGTTGGGTGGTATAGTTTCGATCATTTTTTACATTCTATTGAATATTTTTGTGAACTTTTATATTTCGTGTGATCGAGCTATCAAGCCCCCTTCTGTCAGGGGTGACCAATATTTGTGAATAAATAGAAAGAAAATTGAAATCTGCACTGCAACACGAATGAACAGAGTGAACTTGTTGAGCGGTAACAATGTCTGCACTCCGAGCTGAATGGCCGCAGCAGCAGCCGCCAAATACTGGACAAGCCACCCAATAAAAATTGAAGATAACTGCTCAAGTTCGAGGTGCACGCGGAAACCACTTCAGAAGCACACAAATCGCATTTTAATTGACTGACCGCCAAAGTGGTCTGCAAGCGTGCCAAACGCTCCTTCATGCCCTAATCCTGCTAGAGCCACTAACAAAAACAACCAATGCCAACAAGCCTTTGTCACGTGCCAAAGGTATGTGGGTACCCTTAGCAGGACTTCACTCGCTCAATGCTCGTGAAGTAAGCACAAGTGATTGCAGGACTGCCAAAGGTAGCTTCGCATGTATGCTGCGCATGCCTAAGGCTTGTCGGTGTCAATTATTTTCGTTTGTTGCTCCAGTGGGACTCAGGCACCAGTGATTTCCGATGCATAGTGGAGTCCGACTTCGCTGGTCTGGCTGCACTATGCACTACGCGTAAAACATGCTTAGCATCTAGGTCTGTGAATCAAACATAGCAGACAAAACTGCAGCCTGGGCAAATTGGTCGAGCATGTTATCAACTTCACAGTGCACAAATAGCACACGCACTAGTATTCTAAGACAAAACGCATCATGCACACTGCGCTGAACTCGCAACTCTATTTTGTATTTCGTCTTTGTTTTCCTCTACGTCTAATAATCCGAGACACAAAATTATCTGCAATTATCTCCTTGTAGCCAGGTAAACTAACGTTTTCGGACAAGGTGAGAGACAGAGTACTAACACACTTATCATCAAGCCTAATGATATGTCTGACTTCAATAATCTCCTTGGTCATTTGGTTACTATGCCTGCTTAAGACGGTGCAATTACATAGACGCGCCGCACACCCGCAATTCCGGCAGTGAAGTCCTAAATGTCCAGAGCTTGCATCGGGGATGTTGTTGTGTTCGTTGAGTCAATTATTAAGACACCATCCAGTCCGCCTGATGTATCGTTTTCTACAGGAAAGGGAAATGGCGTCTATACCACTTCTGTGCACTGAACAAAGCAAGTGTGGTGCTTTTTGGTCTAGCTCACAGATATATGCGCAAAGGGGTGCTAATTTTTTTTGCAAAAGCTGGAGAGCTTGTACGGAGCCGTGAAGACCACTTCAACGTTGACCCTACTGGATACTTTCTTAAAGGGGTACTCCAGCGATTTTTTATGGTCGCTGATTTGCCTCACAACTGAATCACCACATCAGTAAACATGGCTGTACCAATTCCCAAACTACTGTATAAAACAAAAAATTTTTTTAGGGTTATTCAACTTTGTTTTTATCGTGTTTCTCAAATTGAGAGCCCATTAAACCAGTAAACCACAGTTCCAACTGATTTAAAGACGTTTGATGGCGGGAAAAGATTGCTTGGAAGCTCATTCACCGAGAAGCAGGAACAAAATGCTGGACATACTATTTTAAGGACCTGCGTGACCCGAAGGTCTTAACCATTTGCGACGCCACACCACTGGAGGGCGCACGGAAATTTTAATGCTGATTACGGCATCATCGTCGTTTAGGATTTTCTCAATAGCTATCTTACATTTCGAGACAATAAACAGCATACCATGAAGTCTAAAGTCCAGGAACTCAGAAAATGCAATTTGTTCGGGTAGCTCAAAAAAACGGCCGGATTACCCCTTTAAGACCATGGGAGAACTTTTGAATGCAGGGTACAACTACAGGTCTTGTTGTCCTATCCCTGGTTTTTATTTTAATTGGTTCATCATTTTTCCTTGCTTTGGGGAGGCTCTCAGCAATTGACGTTAGTAAGGAACTAGGTAACCTTGTCTTACTTTCTTGTATGGAATGTCTGCATAATTTGTTAAGGGGGTACAGAATCGAAACTTGAAATATCCCCGGAACACTTCGAAACAGGTGAAATATGATCCACGATATCCACAAATGACAATCACACGCTTGTATTTTCAACGTATGGCTATATTTTTCGTTTCAACCGATGCATTCTGGCGAGTACTTCAAGATCAAACGTTGAGGCAGAGGAGGCCCATAAACGGCCAAGGGTACCGTAACTATGATCGTCGTCACTAGGTGGCGCCAGCTTTTATCGCCAATGCGTTAGAATCCCGCCAAGTGGGAATACCCGAGGTATGGTGTGCTAGAATTGAGACGCGTGCCAAGAGCCGCTCGTTCCCGGACGCCTCCATCGGACACGCCGCGCCGAGGCGCTGCTACTAATGGGCTCACGACGTCAGCCATTCCAACGAAGCTCGGGCCCCCCCAACTACCAGGTGGTATTGGGAAATAGTTTTATTCATTTTAAAATTGCTTTTCTCGCATTTGTGGATGAAAGACTCATGCTTGTGAGCTGCTGCCATAAAAGAGACATCTAGACAAAGAAATAGCAGCTAAAATTTCGCTTCCATACCCCTCTAAGTAAGTTTTTGAGACAAGAGTTTTATGACACCACTCTTGACCAGCTTGGAGTGCGCCGAGTTGAACGGTAGGAGCGGCTTCTTTCCCCGTGGCTCATATGACCAGCATACGTGGCGAGTTAAAAAAAATAGTTGTAGATCCAAGAATCAGAGATTTCTCCTCTGGAAGGTTGTGTGTTAGATCTTAGGAATACATGCAGCATTTTTAAAGTGGAAAGAACACTGGCCACTGTAGTCGGGAGCTTGCTATTCTCGACATAAAAATAAATCAAGTAATCGTTGTGTAACGAAAAACTTTTACGACCTTTGAGGCACCTAAACATCTTGTCACTAGTCTGTCGTGGTAAACAAGATAAAGGTCACTGAGAACCGGTGTTATGCATGACCCTATGCAAACACTCTTTTTATGCAGGTATGTTTGATCTTCCTAAGTGGCAAAGGTGGACTGTAGATATGCAGTGATTCGATCGAGGAATTTGTTTTGGAAGATCCACGAAGCAGTCTGGAAGGCGACAACACAAAAAGAGTCTATGCTGCCTTTAACGCATTATAAAAGACGGTTTTAGGGTAGTGCGTAACTGACGTCTTATTTCGATTGAAAACCCTTTTAGGTTGTTGTCATATGCTCAGTTAAGAACCTCATTTCATTGGTGTTCCTAATTAAGTAAGGATCATCAATCGTGAGTACATTTGGTTTTTTTTAGAAATAAGGTAATTGATTTTTGCCTGGTTCCGCTCTCAGAGCTATATTTTATTTTTATTTATTTATTTATTACATACTGCAGGCCTTTTGATAGGCCCTTGCAGGTGTGGGGTACAAAAGACTTGTAAACCATCATTACACATGGCTTTCATAATGTTTAGTATTAACACTCTCATAACTAACAATCAACGGGGAAAAAAGTTTGTACAACATATGTTCAAAAAGGTTCACAACACAAGAGCACAATGGAAATACCTAAAAAGGATGATCATCAAGTGCTTTATTAAAATTAGGGGCTATGAATATATTGTAAGGGAGGGCGTTCCAATCTGATATGGTGCGTGGAAAATATGAAAACTTAAAAATGTTGGTTCGAGCAAATTTTGGTTGAAGAGAAAACTGATGGTTGTTCCTAGTGGCTCTGGAAGATAAGGAGGTTATATATAAACTTGAGTCGACGCACAGCTTGTTGTTATAAAGTAGATACAAGAACTTCAGTCTAGCAATTTTCCTACGCTGTTCCAGGGACGTGATATTGTTTGCCGCTATTTATTTATTTATTTATTTATTTCAGATACCCTCAGGGCCAAAGGCATTAGAGAGGGGAGTGGGTACAATGTATAAGTATAAAGTTAAAAAATGCAGTGGTTATTAGTACAGTAAATTGACTCTTATTTATACAATGTTAGCTATGGCGTTCTTGAACTGCTGGGGATCTTTGATTGTTGCTGTCGGGGCGGGAAGGCCATTCCACTCCACTGATGTGCGAGGAAAGAATGACTGAAAAAAAGCATTAGTTCTACACGATGGAATCCCGACTTTATGAACATGATCTAATCTAGATGAGATGTATTGGGGGGGTAAAATATGTTCGGCGCGCAAGGAGGGATGAAGAAACAGTTTGTGAAAGAGACAAAGACGAGAGATTTTGCGGCGGGATGTTAGGGATGGCAGATCAAGGTTAGATTTCATTGTACTTGACTCCCCATCCTCCTATTAAGGAGGATGGGGAGTCAAGTCTCTTGTACATTCCATAAATAAAACGAACTGCTCTCCTTTGGACCATCTCAAGTTTTGATGCATCTTTTTTCGTATTTGGATACTAGATTATATTAGCATATTCTATTTTTGAACTTTTTAACGGAGGTTGGAGCATTTTTTAACCTGCGTCGTAGGAAACCTAATTTTCGAAAAGCCGAGGAACTGATGTTTTGGATATGCTTTGACCATCGTAGATCGCTTGTTAGGGTTACTCCAAGATATTTGTATTCACTTACTTCGGTTACTGCAACATTATTTACTTGATATGTGAATTTCAAAGGTTTAATTTTCCTTGTCATGCGTAAGCGAACAGTCTTCGCGGAATTCAGTTGCATTTCCCATTCGTTACACCAATCGTCAACTAGAGAAAGAGAAGAATTAAGCGTTTTTTGGTCATCAACAGAGGATATGGTTTTAAACAAAACACAATCATCTGCAAATAAGCGGATATTAACGTTAGTACTCACAGTTGATACAATATCATTTATATAGACCAGAAATAGCAGGGGACCTATTACACTACCCTGGGGAACACCAGAGGAAACATCGAGGGTACCGGAAAAATGGCCACCAACTTCAACAAACTGGCTACGATTGAACAAATAGGATCCTGTTCAGTTAACTATCTCTGGTGGTAGCCCAAGACGCTCTAGTTTAAAAATAAGTTTACCATGAGGGACCTTATCGAATGTTTTGCAAAAATCTAAAAAAATAATATCGAGCTGTCCAGACTTGTCTAGGGTAGCAGCAAAGTCATGGACTGTGGTAACTAGTTGCGTAATTGTGGAGCACCCCCTCCGGAAACCATGTTGAAAAGAAGTCAGCAAACTCCTCTCTTCCAAGAAGTTTCGAATATAACTACTAACCATATGTTCCATAAGTTTGCATGAGTTGCTAGTGATAGAAATAGGACGAAAATTGCTTACAACAGAATGATCATCCTTCTTATGAATTGGCACTACATGCGCTGTTCGCCAGTCATTCGGAAGCACACTTGAACGAAAAAAAGCACGAAAAATGACTGTTAAAAAGCGTGAAATAGATTCGGCATATCTACGGAGGAAGGCGTTCGGTATCTTATCAAGCCCGCTGCTCGATTTTGTATTCAGATTTAATAACATGACAAAGACACCACGAAAGGAAATAAAATCGGCGTTCAGTGTAGCTACAGCGGTGGCAACTGGAGTGTACATATCTGTACATGAGAACACAGATTGAAAATATAGGTTAAATTCTTCGGCGATTTGTTTTTTGTCATTGATTGTGATATTGTTAACTTTTAGCTGGTCGACCGGTTTAGCTTTTTCTGAAAGAGAGTTCCAAAACTTTGCAGGATCATGTTTTATGAAGTTTAAAAGGGTGCACGAAAAATATTTATCTCTTGCTTCTTTGACTTGACTAGCCAGTTCAGCTTGTAGGGGATGTACAGCTCCCTTGTTGGAACTGTTCTTCTTATACCTTTTTATTTTGCGTGTAAGATTAATTATATTTCGGTTAATCCAAGGATTTCTTCGTCCCGTGCATTTACGTTGACTAGGAATAAAGTTCTCTGAGCAATAGTTACATATAGAAACGAACCTGTCCCATAGCAAAATCACATCATGTTCAACGAAGTCGCTGAAACAGTAGTCGAGATAATCCAAAACACTCTCGTCATTAGACTTTAAAAAATCCTTTACCATAGTAACTACTTTTTTCTTTGGCGAAGGTCGGTTAAGATAGCAATCAAATAGTACAAGTTTGTGATCAGACTTGCTTTCCTCAAGTCTTACACTATAATCAGCGAATGCACGACTAACAAATATAAGGTCAAGAATTGAGCGGCTCGAGCCCTGCTCACGTGTAAATTCCTTAACAACCTGAGAAAGATCACATGCGAACATTATGTCAAAAATAATCTCGTCATCACATGGGCTGGATAATCGCAACCAGTCGATATGGAGGAGATTAAAGTCCCCAACCAGAAGAATTGATTCACCCTTGTATTTTATTAAACAATCATAAAGTCGATTTAAATAATCTGGACGGAGGGGGCAATCAGATTTGTGAATTTTTGCACTGAAAAAATAATTTAAGGCTTAAAAGTTTGCTGCGTTCTATGTACGAGCAAACGTGTTTTAATCCAAGCGAATGACACAATTGTCTTGCTCCCCTGTTAATCTTACTTAGGGAAATGTCGTCCTGGCATTGAAAAATGGATTCAACGGCAGAGTGGGCTTTTGTTTTAGACAGGTTGTGGAGCATGAGCACATAACCTCCTTCTTTATCTGCTGGCATAAGTGATAGGCTGTGCTCCCATAGAAAGGTCACCACATTCTTGATGGTAGGCAAAAAGCCGGTGGTTTTTGTCGAAGTAGCAGGTAAATTCTTTTAAGGGTGACACAGTCAAATGCAGCCTCGGCAGCTCGGCACGACAGTAGCTCCGGCAAAGACATTTTTGCTTTTACTGGAAATCTGAGACCAAGACTGAGGTTGTGCGCTGCGCTGTCCGAGACAGACAGCATCGCTAATGCAAGCTCTGGATATCCGAGACTTCACTGCCGGAATCATGGGCATGCAGCACGTCTGCACAGTTGCACCGTCCTAAGCGGGCATGGTAACCAAATGACCAGAAAGTTCATTGAAGTTGAGCATATTGTTAGGCTCCACGACAAGTGTGCTAGTACTCCATCTCTCAGCTTGTAAGAAAGAGTTAGTTTACCTAGCCACAAGGAGATAGTTGCAGACAATTTTTTGTACTGGTTTAATAGACGTAGAGGAAAACAAAGACAAAATACAAAATAGAGGTGAGAGTTCAGCACAGTCTGTAAGTTGTGTTTTGTTCTGAATACTAGTGTGTGTGTGTGTGTGTGCTATTTGTGTGCTGTGAAGTCGGTAACATAGCAGACAAATTTCTAAACAAGCTGTGCAGCAAAACCAAAATATTTTTTTTTTTTGTGTTATGACAAATAAAAAAATTTGTCTTGCATTGTTTGACCTGTATTGATGAAGCAAGTGATTAACATGCTGCTCGCTTAAAATGGTTCTGTGATATCCACAAAGGGCAGACACACTATTTCTAGACACAAACTAAAAGTAGGCCTAAGCATAAAGCATTCATAGAAAAATGGGAGTGGTGGCCCCATTCCTAATAGACATGCCCACTTCTGGAAGAAAAAAAAACTTAATCCATAACTTTGTCTTGTCAATTTTGTTTTTCTTTAAAAAAACATCACCGAAAGATAGCCCATCCCCAGAAGTCAAATTATCTTGGTTCAGGTGTCTTGTGCAATTGGAAATATTAATTTTGACAATATCATCCCTTCCTTTGACAACTCAAAAGGCAACTGAATAAACAAAAAAAAAAGTTTTGCCTTTGAGTTTCAAATATTGTTATACCGCTGCGGTGGTCTAGATGAACGGGGGGTTGGGGGAACCAAGACAGGCATTTTTATATGTATATTTCGGTTCGCACTCCTATGACATTCGAGGGATAAGGTGTGCGTATAAACTCCCCCCCCCCTCCCCTCCCCAGAGAGTATAATATTAATAGACCAAAACATATTTCAGACGTCGTTATTAGTCTCGAGTTACGGAAGTATGCACTGTTAAGCACAAAATGACAACTACAACGCTAAGTGCCATATTTCCGAAACCAAAAAAGCAAGGGCTGTTAGTATCACACTGAAAACCTAAAACACAACGAACGAAACAACTAAAACTGTGAATTAAAATACATGCAAACATAAAAAAAGGGCATTTAAAATTAAATCCTGCGCTACTTCAGTATTCATACAAAATTCATTCGTGCGCATAGTTTCGCCAGCAAAACTACAATTATTGTTACAACACGAGTTCGCCCGAGTCATCAGGCCAAAGGACAATGTTAATAGAAAGTCGAACTTTAATGAATCATAATGAATCACCTGATTTTCGATCATTTAGCTACGAGGTTAGAATGAACTGTGTATCTTTCAAAACAAATTGCGAGATTGCACAAGACTTCCTTCAAACTTTTTCAAAGTCCCCAGATTTCACACGTAAAGCCAAACACAGGGCCGTCTCAAAAAAGAAGTTAACTGTGAGTAATACCAGTTACTGTCAGACGGTGCTATGAAAGAAACAGCGTTAATTAATTAAATGACAATTAGTCAAAATAACTCCTACCTTTTCAGCTGAGGCAGCCGCCATCTTTAACCACCTCAAGTTGGCGATCGCGATCGCATTTTCGCTGAACCACAGCTGCCTGTTCACAGCAGACCAACGATGCAGCAGACCCAGCACCAGCAGACGTCATATTTCGAGTATTTCGAGACTTTGGCCGTAACGTGTTTCAAGTAAAAGAGTTGACACGCTCGTTGAATTTGAATTATTTATATACTCAATACAGAGCTATCGTATCGATCTAATCTTTAGATCTTGTTGAAACTGCGATGAACAAAAGTAAATTAATCGCAACCACGCCAAAAGTAAACTTTTGTTTAACAAGTTGTTTTTAATACAACCAAAATATATTGTTTATTTAGCAAGTAGTAGTGAAACAAATGAGATAAAGTAAAATAATCTCGCCAAAAACTTTAAATTGATAGTGACGTCATTACACCAGCAGAAATACGCGAGCAACGAAAGCACGAAAGTGTTGTTATCGAACGCAGCTTGTTTAGCTGCTGATCTTGAGGTGGTTGGTGCCCGAAGGTTTGGAAGTCGTGTAGTGCTTTTCCCCGAGTCTTATCGTCGTGATTTCGTTTGAAGGGTGCGAAAGAGCAAGTTTCGTTTCTTCTCTTTCGGTGCCGCACATCCAACTAAAACGGGCCGTGAGCTACCGACCTCCTAAAAAGTGCCGGGTCCCATAGTATGATCGCTCCCGTGCGGAGGCAGTAGTGAGGGACGAACTGTGACCAACGACTTCGACAAGAGGCGATGGCTGTGGCAGCCAATTCTTCGGGACGTAGCTACTCCTTCAAAGTGGTTCTTCTCGGCGAAGGATGCGTCGGAAAAACCTCGCTCGTTCTCCGATACGTCCAGAATAAATTCAACGACAAACACTTCTCAACTTTGCAGGTGAGTCATCTACTGACTGACTTACTGGCTGGCACCGCGTAATTGCTGTCGTCTCATCCTTTTTTTTTAATCGACAACTTTGATTGAACTCCATCGATATTTTCTTTGAGTAAAGCTATACGCACTCCGGAGTGCGCTTCGGACGGAAATGGCTATACGCACTCCGCTTTTCTCGTATAAAAAGAGTGGACACAACGAGTTTCCTAAGCGGTGCCATGGCATAGGGGTTAGGGTGTCCGCTTCATACGCAGGTGGACGCGGGTTCGATCCGCGGTGGGCCTTTTTTTCTTTTTTTTCTCAAACATTTTGTTTTGTCGAGGCATTTGGCGATATTTACGACATTTCCTTTTTTGCGATGAACAGTAAAAAAAAAAAAAAAAAAAAAATCGAATGTTGTCGAGAAACTTTGCAGAACTAAATGGTATCGGACTCCCTTTCCGGAGGTGCGATCGGGGACAGCGGGGCTTGGATTGCCGGCTGGACGCCGCGAAGCGGCGTGTACTGGTTACGCTTTGTAATTAGCAGCCGATACTGTCGCCGCGAAGCGGCGTGAACGCAGGCGGGGGGCTGTGTTAACGAGCGCCCCAGTGATTCACGCGCCGTTCAAAAAGGGTGGCCCGAGCGGCATGATCTCTCGGAGGAGTGCGTATAGCCATTTCCGCGCGAAGCGCACTCCGGAGTGCGTATAGCTTTACTCATTTTCTTTACCCTTAATCGAGGAGTTGCACGGAGGGTGAGTTATGGTGATCGCCGAATTGCAACAGATTGCAGCGTTTTGAGACAACGCCTACGAACGCAGAAGCGGGGGAGCAAGGGTTTTCTTTCCATTTTTTTCTTTCTTCTTCGTACAGTTTCTTTTTATTCGTGTTTCGGAGTGTTTCAGCCTCTTACAATTGTTTGGCCACCGGTGATATGCTAATAACGCGTAAGCTTGGCCTTTATTTTTTATTTTTTTGCTAATAATGTTTTTGAATTTTCAGGCATCTTTTCTAGAGAAGAAACTGAACATAGCTGGGAAGCGAGTCCACCTTGCTATCTGGGTATGTAGAATCCGGCTGCTACCAACCACCCTTAGCATGTATTTAAAGGGACGATGCAACGATTTTAATTCTCAATAAGTACAGCTTAGAATTATTCCTTGACATTTATAACCTATGAAAAACACATTATTGTTTTTTGTTTGTTTTTTCTCCACGCAATGGCAGTCACGGAAAAAATTCGAGAGAAACAAACACCGTTTACCCCCTCAACTCGTTGCCAGAACAAGCGGCCACATGAGCTGGAGCCGATTACATGCCGCCAATGTTTCTAACATGGCGTAGAGTTGGCAGAGCACAGGGCGCACGCAGAGTTCCACACTTCGTTAAAGGGACACTGACAGGGTATTTATGCTCGCCGAGGTTTTTAGTTGTATGTGACATATGAGAGCCAACTACCCAGAACAGAATTTGCGGCTCGAAATTTGGTTTCTTGCTACCCGAAAACCGCCGATCGAGAACTGGCCGATTTGAGTCGCACTCACTCTTTTTTTTGTGGTCATGGGCCGTTTTCTAAGGTATAGACGCGACCACCAAATTTAATCAAAGTCGTGGGTCATTGAAGGCACACAGCCAATACTAAAAATATCAAAAAAAATATGAAACAAATATTTTGCGGCCTTTAAAAAGCTGCAAATATGTTAATAGAAAAAAAAAAAGAAAAAAAGGTTGCGCAGACAACTGGAAGCATTCTGTGCGTTCACTGCATAATTCTCCTCCACATGGCGTCGTTTCGCGTTTTGTGAGACTCGCGGGTGGCAGCGGACGACGGGCGTGGGACCTCTACTTCAGAACGGTCGTTTACGGTACCGGCGAATTCTTTCTTTCTTCGAAAGAGAAATTCTGGACTGATCAAAAGAAGTGATATTCATCCCGTACGACATGCCCGACCAGCAAGCCGATTGCACGAAGACGTCGCCGAGCCGTCGTCCGTTCTCGTGGCTGAAGACATCGCTCGCTCAAACAAACAAGCACTAAGTGCGTACTATGAGTTGAATGTGCACGCGTACAGTTTCTTAACTTGGTGCAAATGTGGTCAATGCGTGGCGCTGGCTGACTTCAAGCCGGGAGTATGTACTGGAGGGAAATCGGCAACAAACTTTTCGACATACAGTCGACCGAATGCATTACCACGAACGAAACAGTTCCTTCAGTAGCTCAGTGGAAAGACGTCCGCTTCACATGTAGCGGGGATGGGTTCAATCCCTAGTCGAAGCGTACCATTTTTTTTTTTTTTTACATTTTGCGATGTTTACATTTTTTTTTTTTTTCATATCACTGAAAAAAAAAAATGGTATGGGATTTCATTTTTGTCACATCTGCCGCATAATGCCATTTTCAGATGTAAGGCAGCTCTTCACGCAACATCTTCGGAGTATTCTTTTCGGAGCCGATCGCAGGAATTCCCCACGGGCACTCACTACTAATTGCCAACACTTAAATGTACAAAACAACTCGTCTTGAAGTACAGAACAGCGAGCGAAACAAACATAACTGCAAAGGAATCACACGGGGAACGGATCCCGAACGCAATTCGTCTGCTGCACCCGGAAAAAAAAAAAAAAATCGCATGGTTGGGTGTAGCCACGTGACTTCCGCCACTCACTCTCTCCTCTCCACATCTCCGTGCGGTGCGGGGGTTTCGGTTTGAGTTTCAAGCAGTTGCGTTTTTTGGCTTTATTAAAAAAATACATGACTCTGTAGCAAAATATTAATTGGGTAGTGTTCCGACACCATAATAAATCGCCTGGCAAAAAATGAAAAAAACATTTTTGGGGGGTGTCAGTGTCCCGGCGATTCCCGTCATCTCAGCGATTGGGTGCGAGCCACTACCCGAATGCATGTTCAAGAATTGATTGTCACGAGTCAAGATCGAATGCCTATGCAGTGCTCGTGTCCACCGTACGGGCTGCATTCAAATATCGCCCCGGCGGGGATCGCAAAGCTTGACGACGCAGTCCCGGGGATCGCATTGTTGTCGTTGCCCCCGCAGCTGCGTCATTGAGTATTGCGAAGGAGAGACAGAAAGAAAGGTCTGCTTCTGTCCTCGGAATTGCACCGCGACGAAGACGCCTCTTGGTCAGCGGCGTTGCGTTTGAGTATTCTCGGGTTCTACTAGTTCCGGTAAGTTGGCGTAAAATGAGATATGTTCTTACCCGACACGGTTGCACGGCCCCTTTAAAGCCTGACACGCAAAATCTACTTCGGTGGGGGTTTGCCTCTCCAAGTTTGCCGATGGGTGAGGGGAAGAGTATTGGTGGAGAGTCCTCCGGTTTGGCTCAATTACCCAGAGCCTCGGAAGACGGTGAGGGAAGGTGGCAATCGATCGCTTGATCGCTTACTTTTTTTATTATGAACACTGCAGGTCAGTCTCTAATATGCTTGTACTTACTAATATTTGCGAGTAAATAAGTAAATAAATGTGTATGTTTTGCCCCTTTACTCGTCGGTTCCCTTTCCAGGACACAGCGGGCCAGGAGAAGTTTCATGCGCTGGGACCGATCTACTACAGAGACAGCAATGGTGCCATCCTCGTTTACGACATCACGGACGAAGACTCCTTTCAGAAGGTCGGTGTTCATCTACCTTCCTGGAGCGAGGCTGTTTCTGCAAAATGCCGTGTCTTTTAAGAAGAGATTTTGTTCTGTGTGAGATTAGACCAGGGGTTTTCCAAACTTTTTGCTCGAGGGTCGGATCGGGGATCGGTCGCTGTCTTGAGGGCCAGAAAATATGTAAGGAAGTATGAATGAGGGAAAACCAAATAAATAATCCTATAGATAAGCATTTAAAGACAAAAGAAAGTTAGAGTAAACATTAAAAAATAATATTATACTATCTACTCTATTTATGAATCCAATATTTAACTAATTATGACATTGCACAATAATTGGGACCCAGAAAATTCACCAGGCATAAATCAAAGTGCGTAGCAACTTTGGCATGTTCCGACAGGGCAGAAGACTAACGAAAGTGATGGAACTGATGTTGACAAAGTGCAATAGATACGACGCAGGACAGTAAGCACAATGCATACATGGGAACGCAAAATAATTTTAACATACATAGTTGCACAGATATGGAACAGGGGACTGATAATTATAATAATTGTTATTATTTATTATTTCGAGCTTCAGGATGACCAAACTCTCGATATGTTGATGCCAGTGGTGGCGACGTCCAACAAACAATAAGACGAGAGGACACACTTCATGACTGGCAGTTTTCTCTTTTCTTTTCTCCGGTATATTCGCTTACGCGGTTGGTTCGTGTTGCGGAACCGTTTCTTCAAGTACTCTTATTTTTGTGCTGGGCGGGCCGGGTTTTCTTGGAAGAACCACAGCCAATCGCGGGCCGGTCGGAAATATCTCCGCGAGCCGGGGTTTGCAGACCCCCGTCTTAGACAGTTGGAAGTCAGTCGGTCCCTATTGGGCATCCGGTGTCTATGCCAGAGACGAGAAATTTTGCTGGTGCAGTAGAACTGGTAGCTTGGGTTCTTTGACATACGTTGGCAGGTATTGAAGCACGACCGGACTTATGATGCTGGTCCAGATTGAAATGGGCAGGGGTGGGGTTTGGACCCAGGATCCTCGGGTTCTGCAGCAGAGGCTTTCTATCAATCTGCTCCAAGGTGGCGCGTTAACTCATGTTCACTACCCACGTTGCCATCCTGGCTTCACGAACCTGTTAGAAACGGGGACGTCACACACTTTTATCGAACCTGAAGTTCAACCTGCTAGGCGAGCCTTTGTGCTTTTTAAAAAATTCTTTGAGGTTCGCCTTTCTAAGAAATGTTTGTTGCCCAGCTTTTACACAAAAATTTTTCTTTTTGAGAAAAAGTTGTTTACGGGAGCTTGTTCTAACTTGTGGCGACGCACACACCAACACACAGTGGCTCCCAAGAGAACATTTCTTTTCTCCCTCCTGAGAGCTTCACAGATTACGTTACCCGGCTCAGGTGCAACGTTGTCTGCCCCACGCTTATTTATCCATTGCATAACGTTGGATAATATCCTGGCAATCTCACCATTGCACACTGGACACTGCTCTCTCTTGCTTCGCGATTGCACCACTTCACGCCACGGTGCGAGGGCACAAAAGAGTACGACGCGAGATGACACAGCGAGACACTTGGGACCAGCGGCCAGGAGACATTGTGTCTTCATCATCATTCTAAATTTGGCCATGTAACAATCAGTTAACTAACTATTAAGTTAGTGTTCTTACCAACCGCTCCAGACCATTTTAACTTCCACGTCAAATCTGGAACAACCCAAGATTCTACATTGGTGACCCAGGAATCTACAAACCCCTTAGTCGTTTTTTCTTTTGTGCAGTTTTTGATTCTAAGCTGTTTTCCTGGCCTGGGCCGCACGTGTCTCCACAATCGGTCGTCATGCTTAAAAAAACTGTACAATAAAAACCGTGTGCTGCCATCTCTGAGCAGTGCTGCAAACTAAGCTCTGAACGAGCCTGGTTTCGTCCAGAACAGCCGAGGGGCAAGGTAGGTGTAGTAGTTCAAAATAGATGGTGTGGCACATCACAAACTCGGCGTGCCACACGGACGGGCTCGCACTTGAGCCTGTGCAGTGAGAGCGCTTGCACGCAATCATAAATGAGTCGAGTCCAAACCTCCGATGGAGCTGGACGTCTTTCATTCTTGGCAGGTCTGCTGGGTTGCAAACACGGTCCATCTCCGATCCCACGCGAGTAAGCCCTCATCAATTTACTCAGTGTCCTCTTAGGCCCAATCTCAGCAGTGTGGCCCCGATCTTGAATTACTACAGTCAGGTGTGCGAATGAGCTATGCTCGTCCTAAACAGTCTGGGGACGGCTCTAGGTGGATGGGCTAGGCTCGTTCAAAACGGTTAAGGGGCTAAATTTGGCAGAATAATTACCGATGCACACACTATTAAAAATCAGCCTTATGAACTTTTAATGCAAACTACTTCATTTTCACAAGCTCAACATTTCGCTAATTGACCGAAGTGTAGGTTTGGGAAATATTTCTCCGGCACAGAGTCTCGTGATTTGGTGCGATACGCCATATATTTTTTCACCACGAGGTGATATATTTGTGTGACAAGTTTTTCTCAATATTTTTCAATTTGCAAAAGTTGCGAAAATGAGGTCTTTGCAAAAACATCAAGTCGTTTCTAGTGGTTTGTTTAAATACTACACCCCTCCTCTGCCAGGTGGCACCAGCTTGTTTTCAATTTACAAGCAGTCACCCATTAGTCAAACTTGGGTTGAAATTTTATCACGCGTCGTGTTGACAGTTGGAAAAAGTCTAACCTGATCGAACCTTGACATCATTCTTGTATGCGGAGCACAAGTTCGTCTGCTTCTTGCACAGGGGTTGCACTGACGTCAGAATTCTGAGCTCTGATTGGCTCTAATGGAGGGATAGTGGGTAGACCTAAATGCTAGCTCTTGAGGTCTACCCCTATTCCAGGGGTGGCCAGGCTGACCCGGCCTATGAGCGGCAAACAAAACCAAGAAACTTGTAAGAGCACGGCGGGGGGGGAGGGGGGGGGGGGGCTATGAATGACGTCAACTCGGGCTTCCGCGATCTTCAACGAGAAACGATAGGGAACATCTGTTATCTAAAGGAGACAAGTATCACCGTCGAATGACAAAGGCCGCGAGACTGAACATTTCCTCGACCCCAAGCCAAAGTGCATGCATGGTTTGACAGTCCCTGTCCTTGATGCCTTACCCCCTAGGGTCCAGCAAACTCCCTCAAACAATGAAAGAAACAGGATCTGTTGGAAACATACGAGTGAAAAGCGGTTTGACTGTACGTATGGGGGCACAAGGCTGCCCAACCGCAAGCTGTTCTTTATTCTGAAATCGTTGGGAAATGCGGAAGGGGAGGGGGGGGGGTCCCCTTACAAGGGATCCGCGAGTTGCACTTGGACCAGCGAAGAGCCGCGGTTTGGCCACCCCTGCCCTATTTTTTTAATCTGAGCCAATCAGAGCTTGGCATTTTGATGTCACCGCAACCCCAGCTCAAAAAGCAGACAAACTTGCGTTCCGCATTCCATTCACCCCTAAACTGACAGCGCAGTGGGAGCTTTCTGCATGTAGGTGTGGGTGGAAGAGTGGTCACGTTGCAAGAGGCCAGCGTCCGACTGCTATGACGAACGTATAGCTTCCACCACGCTTTCAGCTTGCAGGTCAATGGAGAGCCGGCGGACAATCCAGCCCATTTTCTTTCTTCGTCCTCGTTTCTTTTTGCACCGTTTTCACTACAAAGAAGAGTCGTGGGGCGCTTGCAGGAGACCGTGATGCCACGCTGCTTCCGGCTCAAAATCTCCACCGGAATCCACGTCGACAACATGAATCGGCTTTCGTCCCATGTCCGCCATGTGTTCCTGTATGTGGAGGCAGTGTTTTCCAGATCACTCGAGTTCTTTCGTGACACAATCGACTAAACCGGCCAGTACAGTTGGGAACGCAAAGGAGTGTGGAATGGGATTCATTTTGTACACATACAGGTCTTTATTCAAACTTCAGATGAGCTGGATCTTGAGCTGACACTTGTCTGCCGGGGCAAGATGACTCCGGCAGACGCTGCTAGGTGGCTTTGGAGAGAGCAGAAACGTAGTAAGCTCTGGTTTAAAGGGAGACACTGATCAGAGATTTACCCTCTGAATTACTCAAGTGATCGGAGTGAAATTTGCAGGGAAGATTTAATATCAGATGAATGTGTAATGCGCAAACTTTCAGCTCTCTTCGGCTATTTCGCATACCTGCACAAGAAGATATGTCACTCTTCGTTAAGAAATCTATTATATACAAATGAAGCTATTAAGCACCATTTTGACTGCTTGAATATAAAGTGGGGGATGTGGTACTTAGGGCTATATAGTTTTTATTACTCAAATGTAAATATTTCAGCAGGAGTTATTGCCTCAAAATGTGAGATGCATATCTGTCCTACGTCAATTTTTAAAAACATTGTCGTTTTTCAATGTGGACATCAACTTAAAACAAAATAAAGTGATAGCCCGATTCCCCAGTAAATTTCAGTTAAGAAACATCTTGGTTGTGGTATCAGAATATTTTTACTTCCGAACAAGATTCCTTCGTTTGAAATTTGCAGCAAAAAGTGGAACTGAGAAAAATGCAATCAAAGATTGAACTCCTTGACTTTGTTACTGCCTCATAATCTGTTAAAAATATTTTATATCAACGTAACTATTTGGCGTCTGGTTATCACAAGGGTGTATAATTAGTTTCTAAAACCAAAAACCTCAAACTTGAAAAAAAAATTTTTTCATAAAAATCTGAAATTTAGGCTTATGCCCCCCTTAAGTGCCCCAAATACACGGCCGAATGCATTTCTTGCATTCTATCATCGACTGAGCTGTCTGCGTGCTTCTGCGTTTTACCGACACCAAAGACGACACTGACAAAGAACCACTGAAAAGCGTGCGAAAAGAGAAAATGGTGGAAGGCATCGCCGGCAGGGCTGCCGATGGCTTATTGTCGTTGGCCGTCGTAGTCTTCGAAAGTGCCACGTGACAGATTCGGAAGTGACCTCAGGTGCAAGAACATCGGGGGTGTAGTTCCACAAAGCGCTTTTTCACTTCCGGTGAGCTGCGTTCCTCCACGTTGACAAACGGCGTCTTATTTATTTACTTACTTCCTATACTACCAATCCAAATTGGGATTGTTGTAAAGTCCCAATTTGGATTGGTACATCATACAAAAATAATTTTTTTTTATTACACACATCAAGATAATGGTATGCAAGCCTATGTCAACAGGAGCACTTCCAAGTTGACAGGTGTGCTTCCTTATTCTATTAGTTTGCAAGCAGACGCTTAGTTATTGCCATCGTTTTTGGTGTTGGCGAAATGCAGAAGCGTGGCGAGTCGCTCCGTCGATAACAGAACTCGGCAAGTGTGACAGGGGATGTGTTGAAGGCGCACAGACCCGCGCTTACTGCTGTTTTTCTTAGTTGCCCCATCAGCATCTATTGGGGCCGTTCTTGCTTCCGACGCGCGTCGGCTTTTCAATAGCCGGCTCTTCGTAAGTCAAAATGTACACTGGTTGTATAAAAATCGAAAACGATCGCGGTGCAAAATAACTCGAGCGGACTGGAGAACGCTGCCTCTGTGCATGGAAAGGCACGAAGTAAAAGTTAACAAACATGGTGTCTGTCGAGATTTCGGACCGGAAGTGCGACGTCTAAAACGAAGTGCCTACAGGAGTCCTCCGTCGTGCACGGCGTCTCCCCTCAGGTGAAGAACTGGGTGCGAGAGCTGCGCAAGATGCTGGGTGGGGACGTCTGCCTCACCATTGTGGGCAACAAGACGGACCTGGAGAAGCAACGAGCCGTGCCCGTGGCGGAGGCGGAGGCATACGCGGCCTCGGTGGGTGCCACCCACCTGCAGACCTCAGCCAAGCTCAGCCGGGGCATCGAGGAGCTCTTCCTGGACCTCAGCAAGCGTGAGCGCCACACCCTTCTTTTTCTGGGCGTGTTGCTCGCTCGCCACGCCCGTTTTGTTTTTTTAGAACGCAACTCTTAGGCATTCGTTTCCGGCTTGAGCGGCATTGCCATTGGCGTAACCGCGTGTTGCATTATGAGACATTTCTCTATAAGGACATCACACGTGACGTCACAAAGGTCACAACGAAGGTCACTACCTTCACGCGACCTGTGAAGGTCACAATCTTGACGAGTGACGTCACGAGGGAGGAGGGAGGGGAGAAGGAGCATACCCTCGTCTCCATACCCTCTCTCCTCCTCAAGAGCTGCGCTGTTAATTTGGCACTACAGGGAATTGTAAGCGTGTTTAATTTTTTTAACGAGAAACTCTTTTGGCAGGCGTTTGGCATTTCGTGAAGCCCAGTAAAAGCGGTGCCTGGATATAAGTGTGACCTCAAGGCTCAACACCCATTGGTTGATGGGTGGGAGAGGAGAAGTGAGGTGGACGACGCCGATTGGTTAACGGGGAGGTCGTATAACCAGAGGGTATGCAAGGAGGAGCTCGGCCACCTGTGCGCACTGAGAGAGAGAGGAGCTTGAGAGTATGGAAGGCTCGGGAAGGATCTCCAGGTTCATTGGCCCACTTAGTGGTAGTATCGCTTCATTCTAGTAACAACCATAAGGCATTAAACAATCTGATGAAGAGCGCCGTGAACTTCGGCATCTGGAAACTCGGAGTATCACCAAACGTTTGCGATGCTTGAACATTTTGCGTATGCAACATAATTGTCAAGTGATTTTCTTTAAATTTCTTTTCCACGCAGGGTGTGTTTGGGGCAAGCGTTTCATTTGCAGATGTCACCGAGAAGAGGGTTAAACATAATTTCTCTGCAAAGTTGGAGCAGCAGGGAAATCGAATTGGTGTAGTGTTACCGTAATATCCTGAGACAGGGATTCTCAAACTGGCTTCCTAGGATCTTCCAAATATTCTTGGCATCCCTACCCCCAAGTAAAGTGTTTTTCCAGTTTAAGCACTATTTTCCCAGGTCTGAGCCACTCACTGATAGATAGCTATGAGCTAAGCACTCCTTCATGGGCACATTATGGTTTGCATGGTCTTTAGGCTCGTTTAATTCTTTATTGTATTAATGCCAAGACCAGTGAGAATTCGTCGGCTAATCATTGAGAGAGATAGGGGATTTTAGAGATCTGAAATTTAAGACGATATCGGGCAAAAATAATGGGTGGGCTAACTTCGGTGCCTGACCAAAAAAAAGTTGCAGACATTAATGTTACCAATCTCTAGAAACGCTAAGCCTTCTGAAGAACGGAAAGTTTGCACTTTGCATCCACACGTCTGCCACAGTGAACCCAACTGTTGCAATTTTAGTTTTGGCTCGTGGCCTCGACACTATGCTCCGTGCGGTGGAGAAGCTCGGTTCAAGCTATGTTTCGGATCCTCTACACACCAACACGCAGCCCAATGTCACGCCGCTGCAGTGGTACTGCTATTGGCAAGGCACACGTGCAGGCGCTCCACTTGATGCAAATCTGGATCCCGCGCCTCGTGCAGGCTCGTTTGTAAACACGTGGTGGCCTACGTCCGCCATGTCCCCCGTCATTCTTTTTGCATTTTTTTATGCGAGTGCTTTCTGTTAACGATGGTCCTGGTAGCGATGCGACATCGCTCAGCCGATGGTTGTCTCCAAGCGGCACTACAGTGCCGGGAATACGTCTTCGATTGGTGCATTTAGCGTTCCGTCCCGCCCACCATGCATCGAAAGTTGTCCCGGGGTGGCAACAAACGACGTCGCAGAAGCTGGCGAGTCAGGATGTTGGACGCCGCGATATTGGCGGTGGGTGCTGCAAGTCTTGGCAAAAAGCAGGAGCAAGCATGAGTGTCGCCGTCATCACGGTGTCCCGGCGGCCGTAGCTCTTGTGGGCCATCAAGCGGGAGAGCGACCCGCAGCAGTACGGGCGTCTGCTACTCCCGACACCGCTGCTGCGAAGCCGCCGGGATCGCTGCGGGCGACAGCACGACACCCATACGACGTCGCGAGGCGGAAATCGAGGGACCACTTTATGGGATGCGGTAAACACTCCATTTTGGCCACACCAGCGAAGAGCCCAAGAGGCGCGCCAAATACGGCGCAATGTCGACGGCGGAAAAAAGCTGCGGTCAACAAACGAGCGGAAAGTGGCTCGCCTTATTTCTGTCGAGGTCACATGGGCAGTCGGGTTTCTAGAAGTTTGGCATTTGTGCGCAAATATGAAGTCACGCTAAAAACCAGGGGTGGGGCACATCTCCGGAGATACCACAGCGCACATCATTTCTTGAATAAATGCGCAATTGTGTACTGCCGATTCGGGTGTGTTTACTTAATTTTGCAAGAATTAAATTTGAGTATAATTACGAACCAGTTCAATATTTGCGGAAAGATTAATTTTCCCGCTATATTTAGCGAAAAAAAAACCACGAATGGACCTACGTTGGGCGCCAGTTGTGGAGGATTTAAAGACGACTGCCAATTCTGACGGTGCTTAGGCTCGAACCGTCCCCACGTGCCCTAGAGCCATCTTTCTTGTTCCCCTTCATCTCCCACGGTGTGTATTGATTATGCACTAATTCGGGTTTTCCCATTCAATTTGGTAAACTCTCTCGTAGGGCCGTCCGTCGGTATTCCTACCATGTTAGGTGACTATAATTATTGAAGGAGTGGGAACGTGGGTGCGTCTTTCGAATGCCCGGACTTTAGCAGGCGCTCCATGCCTTTAGCTGTGCTTTGGCTGCATGTGCACGCTTGTGGTGCGTGAAGCGTTGTCGAAGGTAGGATGCTTGCGCTGGAGGTGGGGCAACTGACGCTCTTCCCTGCCATCCCCACCTCGTCAGCAACCACTAAGTCGACGACTTTCCTTCTTTGGCAGGGATGATCGAAGTGGCGGAGGCGAACGACGAGCAGCATCGCAACAGCCTAGGCCGCGGAGGCAGCTCTCGACGTAACGTCGTCATCGTGGACGACGAACCCGAACCGAAGAGGGGCTGCTGCGGCGGTTGACTGCCTCCGACCGAAGCTGCTGTATTTTTTTCCTAGCTTTTCTTTTGGCAAACTGCGGTCCCTTTTCAAGGTCATTTCTAAGTATGTTTTTTTTTATATATATATATATACATATATATACACAAACACACACACACAAACACACATATATAGAGCCTATACGTGTGCCGTTTCCTGCAGTACATTCTTGAGAATTATCCTCGAGATGAAAGGTCGTCTCACCGAAAAGCCGTCTCGTCTCCCTCATTTCGAGCGCCCGTCGCGGAACGATTTAGGTTGGTCGGAGTCCAGACAACTCGTCGTTCCGCCATCTTGTCACAAGTTTGGGGTGGCTTCCGCTCTGGCTGGTTTGATTGAAGTAGGGTGATGTGCTGGACGTGTGTTTGTTCCACCTTGTTTTGAGTGTCTGTTCTAGGACTGCGTGAATGTGAGCGGGAAAGAGTCGGGCTCTTCGTTCGTTGGCTGGGAAAGGGCGGCCAATTCGCGGAGCTGCCACAGTTTACTCGTTTGTCTCTGGCACGCCGGCGTAACCGGTGATGATGCAATCGTACCTGGGGGACAAGACCCCTCTTTTGGTGTTGAAGACTTCCCTCTTTTTGTAATGATGAACTGAGGTGGGAGGATCGTATACAGTAAAACCTCGTTATAACAAAGTTGAAGGAGCGGTCGTAGTTATTTCGTTATAACCATTAGTTTGTTATAGCCAATGTCCATTTCTCCATACTATTAGCAAGCAAGGGGAATTATGATTGCTTTGTTATATCCATTAGTTTGTTATATCCCATTTTGTTATAACGAGGTTTTACTGTACTCCGTTTCACTTGAAGTCCGTCCGTAGCCAGCTCAAATGGTCCGACGGAGCCGGTCGAACGGCGCTCGTCGTCTTTGTGAGTCTGCTATTTTCGTCTAAACCAATCGCACACAAGGAAGGCACCGTGATCCTGCACTTGTTTTCTGTCCGCGATCAGTCTAGCCAGCGATGGCAAACGCACGAAGACGACGAGGACCGCAATGACGCACTTTTGGCACTGCCCGAGTGGCTTTGTCGGATCTTGGCACTGACTGCGGTCGGACTTGACATGAAACGGAGCGTAGTAAACAGTCTAGATGGAAAGGGCAGCTGCTCGTCAGCCGGAGGACACCTCGCGTAGGTGTACCCGATCATGGGAGGCGGTGAAAGGTGTCTTCAAACTCTCGATGCCCCAGAGCAGCCCGATCAACATCTTTAAATTCTGTTTTCTCTGCACTTCGACCAATTCGCCGAGACCTCTCGGATTTGAACTTGAGTTAGGTTTTATACTTGAGATTGTCAAAGTATTCTCGCGAGTGAATGCGACAGAACCACCACTATTGTCCGCCGTTAGGCTAAGCTGAACGCTGCGTGGTCTTAACACCGGTTTTGCAATGCGAGCGGTGGATTGTTCATTTCGTGATAAACGTGTTAATTGTAACATTGAAGTCGGTTCGGGGAGTATTTTTTACGTTGTGTCGAGATTACAGTAACCAGGCACAACTCGGCAGGGTTTGTTCTAGAAAGGTGGTGATCTCGTTCATGCTGGTTCTTGAGGAAAACGTTTTCCAAAATGTTTTTTTCTTTCACTGGTGTGAATTTTTGTGCCTTTTTCTTCATTGTACTAATCTGAATGCTTTCAATGATAGCACTAATGCTATCTTGGTCAGCAAGAGAGGCCCTGCTTTCAGTCTGCCAGAAATCAAAGATATATAAATATATATATATATATATATATACGTAAACAAACACAAATCTACACAATTGCAGTGCACGCATTGAAAACATAAGTACATATAGTGAAAGCATAATAACCCAACGTGCTCCAATGTTTTGCGAGCGATTTGTACATGGGCGTAAAGTCAGGACGCAAAGTCCTTGAACAGGCTCCGGTGTCTGATTTTTAATACCTCGAGCGGTAGTGGAGTAATGTGCGAAAGAAGGTTTGCATATTGAGTTAGGTTAGCCTATATTAGGTGGAGAGTTTGTTTTTTCTTTTTATATTCAATACCTTCGAAGCCCTTTCTTAAGCTTATTTGATAAACTGTGGTCACCGCCGGCTTCAGAGCAGCACGGAGCTTGTGCTATGCAAGCAGGACAGCTTGAGCTTTGTTGGGTTGTTATCCCGTCAGCGACTGCAGTACATTAAGCTGTCTTTTTTATTTTTTTATCAGTTCGTTTGGATGGTAGTCTTGCAGAATTCATTAGAGTTTGTGTCGCTGAGCTTTCTTTGACGTGTGTGTGGCTGTGAGTGAGTGGTGAAAGTCCAGAGTTTAAATAAATTGAGGTGTATACTGCGTGTTCGTTGCATCGCTTTGTAGAGCAGACAATTTTTTTGCCTGCTAAATGTGGTGTGGGACCTGGCTTACATCAATTTGGAAGTCCCTGCATTTCCAACTCTGATCTTTTCTCATTTCGGAGCTGCGACACTGACCGGTTCATTGATTGACCGACCACTGGCCAGTTGATTGAGATCCGACTAGTTACAGGCCAGCTGACTAAAATGATAGATATCCGATTGGCTACTGGCCAGTTTATCGATGGATTCATTGACGTCCGACTGGCTACTAACCGGTTGATTGACATTCTAAATCGCAAACTGGTCGACTGGATACAGACTGGCTGACAGTAGTCGGCTTGCCAGTCAACTACTACTTTAATTATGATGAGCGCAGTAATACTTTACAGTAGTTAACCATATTCACTGTGCCAGTGTTCCAAATGGTTGGTTTCCGTCAAGCAGTCGGATTGCCTCTCAAGTTCAGGAATCTTTGTTTGCTCGTTTTAACTCATCGGATCAGCACCCCAGCTTTGCTTAGATCAAATCTAGACAGTTGTGAAACAGCAACAAAAACCACGAAGCAGCACATCAGCTTTCCGAGGCCCTCGTAGACCAAACACCAGGCAGACTGGTATCTTGTTGCCTCGGCAAGCTTTCAGTGGCAGCCTGGCTAAAGCCTTGTTCACACATACACCGCAGTGCTAAAAATACTGCTGACTGCCCTATTTCGGAGCTCTGCAGCATGTGACCATATTTTTGTACAGTGTACAAACAGCACAGTGATGAGTTAGCAGCATGCCTGACCCACAAAGATAACAAGAACCGTGATTATGCACTTTTGGTGTTGCTTGATTGGCCGTCAGATTGCTGCGTCGGCTGCGGTCAGACATAATGTGAAACTAGAGTGGAAAGACGGACAACGGGCATCTAGGTACTACAGTCAAACCCGTTTATAACGAACAGCAGGAAACGCTACGATCAATTCGATATAGCAAAAAACATTTAAGGCCTGTTCACAAGATGCATTTTTCTCGCGCATCTAGTGTCGCCAAATGTAGCTTTGCGAAATGGTTGCGCCGTCTGAACAAGTCCAAAAAGGACGCGCGCATCTAAAAAAAAGTTGCAAGCACGCCTCGCTTCTGGAGCGAGCTTTTGCTGAAACTTTGCCGAGTCCTGTCAATCACTCTGAGGGCGCCGCCAATGGCCGCTCAGAAACGCTCTCACGTGGCCTTTGAGGGGGGAGCGAGCTGTTTGAGAAGACCTCTCCACTGCCGGTGCTGTAGCGGAGCCAAATCCGAAAAAAAAAACACGAAACCACGAACGATGGATACTGCCGGCGCTTCCACAAGCACGTCAAGCACCACTGAAGGAAAAGTGAGCAGCATATCGGAAAAAATCCAGCGATGGACGAAGACAATTAGCGGGAGCTGGCGAGATTAGAATAGCGCTCATAGCGTTGTTGTCGCGACGATACTGCTGGATAAGAGACCATCGAGTAAACTAAAACGAAGTTTGCTTTGTTTACAAGCGAACGTGAAACCATGTGCGCTCTCTGAAACAGTTGGCACAGTAAACTCGGGGCAGACATGGGCGCCGAGAAGTAACCAGATTGGGCACGTAGCGTATCTATGAATACCATGTGCATTGATAGGAGCTTTGGCAATGAATTGGCTGCGTATGGGCTCGGCGCCGGCACATGTCCTGCATGTACAGGTTGCCGCCTTAATCGGCTTAGCGCACACGCGAGATCGCTCTAAGTAGCGCAGTATGGGAGAAAAAAAAATTAAAGTGAATTGACTGCATAAAATGCGCAAAGCAGGTCCCCAGATAAATAGCGATCTGATTCGGAGCTCGCTCAAAACGGTGCATCGGTGTGTGTTGTTGTTGCACGTGAAGCGGTACATGTGAATGAGCACATTTCGTGAAACTTGAGTGTCGCGAAACTGTTGTGCGCCTAAAAGATGCATCGTGTGAATTAACAGACCTTTACAACGAACTTCCACGGTGTGTTCGTTGAAAGGCGAGATCTTCTCTTTCTCATCTCTTAGCTTCTGCCTTGTAACAACGCGCTAGAAAGATATATTTTTTAAACTTTTTTTCCATGCGTGCAGTTTTTTTTTTTTTTTTTTTTTAAGCTTATTTTTCTGAATCGCTTCTTTTCGTGGGCAACCTTTTTAAAATGAAAAGGTGTTTTTTTTTTTGTTTTTTTTTTGCGTTTATGCAGAGTGTATTATTTTTTAGCTTTCTCCCCTTCTGAATCGCTTCTATTCACTCAATTATGTTTGCAACTTGAACTTTTGAAATTTTCTTTCTTTCCTACTTTTTTCTTGGGGGGGGGGGGGAGGGGAGGGGAGGGGAGGGGAGGGGAGGGGAGGGGAGGGGAGGGGAGGGGGGAGGACAGGCCAGAAGACGACTGTTTCCGCATTTTTGGAAACCTTCCCATGGGGAAAAAGTTTGATATAGCCAATATGTTGTTCGTTATAGGAATCACTTTCTACATGCATTTTTATTTAAAATTTCCGCGAGTTCGATATCGACAATAATTCGCTGTACGTGGGTTTGTTCTTAACGGGTTTCACTGTATGTGCTCTGCAGAACATGCTTTAATCTTGATTGCGGTGTGTGGATGCAAAAAATATGTACACAGGGTGGCAAGCTGCAGTAACTGACACTGTAAATGACTATTAAAGGGCCACTAAAGAGCGTTTTGAGATCCTTAGCTCTAAGCATCCCAAATAACCCAAAATTACATTCATGCGTGGCCGATTTGCATATTAAAGAAAGTGATCAAAGTTCCTGACACTTACCCTTGGCGCAGAACAACAGAGGGCACTACCGAACCTTGCTGAATATGGTCAAGCGACGGACGGCACTTGTCAGTCACTCGCAAGCGACGGCTTCCCGCGTGGACGAGCGGCTGACCAGTCCCGTTTGTCCACACGAGAACCCATCGCTTGTGAGTGGATGACAAGCGCCGTCCGTCGTTCAGCACTTTCAGCAAGGTTCGGTTGCGCCATCTGTTGTACCCGTTGTTTACGATAAGTGTTGGGATATTTGATCACTTTAATACGCGAATTGGCCCCACATGAATGTAACTTAGGGTTTTTTAGGATGCTTGGAGCTCGTACATTGAGTCATGACAATAAAAGGAGGATTTCAATAAGCTCTTTATAACCCTTTCAAAAGTTTTTTTGTTTTTACTTTTCTTTGTGTGTGTTTATAATGTAAAATACTGGGCAGGTACGCACTCAATATTTAGAGATAACCGCGAAAAAGAAGGGGGATGGGTGATTGTACGGTCATCAATTTTACATATCAATGTATTGTGAAAATTTTCTCAGATTTTACAATTTGGGATCGGGCACTTAGTGTGGAATGGGCGGATGCGCGGTATTCTACGGTAAGTCACGAACAACATATATTGTAAATACACTACACTAGGAAAATGGACGTATATAGACCTTTCCAAAAAGAGCGCTCTGGCCGCCGCCATTTTGCAAATCGAGCGACTCCTATCAGCCAGAAATTTCTGGCACCCGCCCGAGCTGTGGAAACCCCGTCAGCGTGACTCCCCACCTGCATTTTGCATTCGGAGTTCGCTGGCTTTTCTTGGAAGCTTTTACTTTATTCGCCTGTTTAGGATGCTTACCTTTGTATGTTATCTTCCACTGTGAGAACCAGAGAATACCAGGGCTCGTAGCCTGCTCGGCCTTCGCAGGAAACGAACGAAGAGAGCGAACGTCAAGCAGCCCGCGACGCAGGCAGTTCGACGTTCTTGGAGGATTATTACCGTTGAGATAATCTCCAAAAAGCCTTCCCGACTATGTTCCGGGTCTTCGCGAAAAATAGCTGATAGGGTCGGGCCCGGGTTGTGGCGACGGAATAGACACGTTGCTGCTGGCAGCGGAGGCAGCCAGCAGCAACAGCTATGCAACAAGCTCAACCACTCGGGAGCACAACAAGGAAACGGAAGACCCTGTGGAGAAGGCCGAAACAGTTGCTTTGAAGCTGTGCGAAAAAGCAGCTCTCTTCTAGATGTTCCCCAAAACACACCGGATTCTGTCCGATTGTTGTGGAGTGACTATCGGCGATTCTCGACACTGTATATTGGACATGCTGTGTTATTTGAGACCTTTCTCAAGTCCTGTTTGGATAACGCGGCACCTTGGGGTACGTACAATATATCTACCGTATAGACCAACACGCGTCCCTGACGTCATGCAGCTGCGGTGGCGCTGTCGACGCCACTGCGCATGCGCAGAAGCTTCAGTTCCCTCGAATTCGGTTTCTGCGCATGCGCAGTGCCCACACTTGGTGTGGGCAAACGCGGGCTTGTTTGTAAACAGCGTGTCGGTCTATATGGGGTTCGATTGATGATACTCGTTGAATTTCATGTTGTGGGCGGGGAATATCCATGCAGTTCGAATATCCTGTGTGGTCAAATATTTTCGATGGCTAAGACCTTTGTAAATTGACACAGCTGAGTGTACGGTGCCATAAAATGATCAACATAAAAGGAAACAAATTTTCAAGTCGCATTTGTTCTGTCGCGCACGGACTCACCAAAACAGCTTTCATTTCTTCGTTTTTGTTCCCAAAAGATAGTACAATGCATTCTTAAAAATCCAGAGAAATCCTATTTGCCATAGAACACGAAATAAAAAATATAACGCGGCAATTTAGCCTCCACCAGCGCCCGGAAGTGCGCCTACGCAGGTTGCCACAGCCCACCGACTAGAAAACCCACAGCTCAGCGCAGTTGGGCAACACTGATGTACCCTCTCAAAACCAGGGACGCCCGCTGTAAATCGCTTCGTTCGAGACTGCCGCTGGAAAGGTCTATATCTAAATGAAAGTTGCATATCCAGGCTGTTTGCAAGCATGCTTTGAAAAGCTTTTCCCGTTTTCTCAGAATTAATTTTTTCGACGCAACACAAAGGTTTGCCCACTGCATTCTTTAATCTAAAGTTGGATTTAATGTTTTTTGCAGCATTTAATACCTTATTATAAATCAGAGCATGCAACAAGATTAATATTTCTGGAGAACGTTAACTGCAAAATTTTCTAATTGGCAAACACCTTAATAACTCATTTCCAGTTAAAAGGAGCTGTGCAACGATTTTAGCGTCGAAAGAATTGGCATCTACTTTTGACATTCTTTATCCTGTCACAAAGAAAAGAAAACACATCTTCCTTCGAAATGTTGCAATTCCGCCGCATAATCGCGAGGCAAAAAATTGAATAGTTTCCGACCTGCAGTCACGAGCAGCGGCCATGAGAACCACGCGGCGTGACGTCAAAGGGGGACTTGGAAAAAGATAGCAAGTTGTGCACATACATTCAAATCTCGTTAATTCCAACTCAAGGGAGACAGAAAATTAGTTTGAATAAACCAAAGTTTGAATTACTGGGAGTTTCCTCCCATAGACACACATAGGATGGCACCTGCATGTTAGTTTGAATTATCCACAAGTTTGAATTATTCAGATTTGACTGTACCTCCTCGATAAAAGGTAATTTTTCTGTAAAACTTGTCGTTCCAACATAAATATAAATGCGTCAAAAACCTGTTATCGACAAAACTTTTATTATGTGGAGTTTTAGTGGCGCCACCTATCCGAGGTCAACAAAACGGTCGGCTCTATCTGCTACCGCGAACAACCGCCAGAAGCTGGAGGGGGACGGGGCAGAGCCGGACGGGGATGGCCGGACCCGGACAAGTACGTTGGCACTTCCCTCCTTTCGCCATGTTGATCACGCTGCGCAACTACGTGGTCACGTGATTGGGAACGGGCGAGTTCTCGCTGCTCACTGATGGCTCTATAGAGAGAGAGAGCTTCGCCGGAACTCCGCGCATCCTCCTTTTACGTCGCAGCACACGTGACTTGGAAGATGCTGAAGGAGTTGAGAGGTGCCGAAGACTTCAATCTTTGTCATATTTTCAAATAAAAGCTAGCACATGCAGGCAAAAGTTTTTTGTTCTTTACTTCAAAGAGGTCGAGACAACAACTCCCAAATTTTTTAAGCAAAGCACTGAGATTGTTGCACAGCTCCTTTAATCAGCAAAAAAATGTCAACTTGCAATACCTATGTTTGGGACGATGCTAAAATTACAAGAATGGTTTTCTTGCACTCTCTAGTGTTTTTAGAACATACCAACATACTTTGTGCCATATTGTTTTATAGGGTATTGTTAAAAAGTTGGGCATAAACCTGTAAATATATCGGCTTAAACTTTAGAAGTTGGTACAAGTATGTACCAACATGTTTAATTCTTAACCGTTGGGCATAAACATTTGTGATAAAGTTTAGCTTCTTTTTGAAAACTATAACAGAGAGGAAAACAATGAGCTTATGTTTGTGCTTAGCACAAGCACTTATAGTAGATGTGAAAATGTCACAAATAAGATCAGAAATGACAAAAAAATATTTTCAAGACCAGGGTGGTCTTATAAACAATGATAAATCGGGAACTGCAAACAGGAGGCAATCGCACCGGGAACAACACTACAATGTGGCAACGATGGATCAGGAGTCCTTGGAGAATCCTTCGGGCAGGGGAAGGTCAAAGAGGATGGGCGGGTTGACAGGCCGGTATTTGATGTCGCAGATGGACGCATTGATGAAGGTTGTCTGGCCATCGGTGGTCACGCCGTGAGCTGGAACAAAGCATACATTTAATTTTACATTGCTGTTACGTCGCCACAGGACCTGAGAACCCTTTCACTATCGACCACAGTGAATTGATTCAATCTTGAAGGCACCAGCTGCTGTTGTTTGAGTGGGACCCACATATGTATTGATAAAGCGAGCTGTGCAAAAGAAACACCACCGCAAGTCTGTAAATAAGCCACTGGTTGTCAGATTGGGATCCCAGAATGTACACTCGTGGCTTCTCCGAGCTCCCAAATTTCCTACATCGTCCCCCCCACCCCCCCAAGTAGAGCATTTCTCTAATTTAAGAGTGTTGGCTGCACTGGGCTTGTTGTACGGGGAAAGCGTCACGTTGCCGAAAACGAACAGTGCACGTGGACGTTTATCGCAGGTTGCCCTGGCACCGGGTGAATACAGCAGTGATACCCTGGCCCTTTTGCTAATGATAGTCACGGTTGAAATGCAGTGCGCTGGGTCAATCGCAACTGCACTGGGGGTCACGTGATTGCCCTTCTCGCCTTCGGTCGCCCGTTCCCACACTTGTCATTACAACTAACCAAATTACTTGTAACTGATCACTCTTTGGAGTAATTTCGTAATTGTTTAATTACATTTATTTGGAAGTAATTAGAATAGTAATCCAATTACTTTTGGAAGTACTAAAATTACCTGTAACCGTTACTTTTTTCGTCTCCTGTTTCTAATGACAGTCTTTGTTTGTACAAGTTTTCTCAAATGGAATCATTGAATCAAGTTTTGTTAAAATGGCCTCAAAACCGGTTTTCAAACTGGCAGAAAATTTTGAAAATCTTAAGTAAACAGGAGAAGTGATGGTTACTTCTTAAAGTAATGACCAGTTACTGTTTGTCTCAAGTAATCATGTAACCTATTTGAATACATTTTAAGCAAGAGTAATTGTACCCTATTACTTTTTTTCGAGTAGCGTGTAGAAGACCAGTCGTTCCTTCGGCACTCTAAGCCTTTGAGCACAAGAATAGGGTGGTTGAAGCATACATTGGAGCAACCAGTGGCTGCTCGACGGCAAAAACGCGTTCGTGAGAGAGAACGTCGCCTACGTCTAGGCACCGCTGGTGTCGCCCTGGATGTTAGGATAAAACTCATCTGACGTCAAGATCATGCTGTGCGTGGTATCACGCACAGCATGATCTTGACGTCAGATGACGCGTTTTTTCTACGTGCCGCGTGAAGCGGCACGTAGAAAAAAACGTTACGGAGCGAAGAATGGACACACTGGTACGACCAAGCAATTTGTGCAGCACGTCCGCGAGAACGTGTTTGGTGCTGGCTGTTCTGTGTGCGACCTGTTGCGGTTTACGCGAGACACCACATGATGCAACGTCACCGGCATTTCCAATCATTCACGACGCAAAATGATTGAAGTGTCGCACCAGCCGACGCTGTCCATTTGCATCGCATCGCGTGATTGAATGCGCAATATTTATTGTTGAACTGGGCCATCCACTGATGCACAACTATGAGCCAAACACTCACTTGTATGTGCATTATTGTTTTCAAGCTCTGCGAGCCTCTGGAGTCTGGGAGGGTACTTTGGCTACCAATCAACGAAGATGGACGTGATTGGACACCAGGGAGTTTGAGGAGCCCTGAAGTGAGCGAGTCAAGTTAATTTACTCGTCTAAGTGACGTCATGGGGATGGAAGTACATTCAGATGCCTTTCCAGCCTCTTTGCTCAGCATACCAGAATTAGAAATCAACTCCCACGGTTGTGAATGCTGCAACAATTGGAGCGGCTGTCTGGATTTTTTGAAAACAGTGTGGCATTCTTGCCGATTGTCGTTCCTTGGCTGTGCCGACAAATGGTTTGTTTCACTCGCGAGCGAGACCAGCTCTTATAGCATCAAGAACCCACTCAAAGTTCGGCAAAAGTACCGCATTTTCCAGACTACCGTAATATACCGAGATGCCCCACCCCCGAAAGGTAACCCATCCCTATTTTTGGCCCGATCTGCTATTTTTTCACAAACACCGAGAGATAGCCTACTTCTAGTAATTGCACAACCCTGGTCAATGCTTACCTCAGCAGAAATGGTGGCACAAGGTTTGTAGGTCAGAAATTGCAAAATTGCCAATTTTTCAACCTTTTTTTTTTTTTTATCGCACATCGAAAGTTAGTTTACTCCTTATTTCTCCCTATTTGCTTTTGATTTTAGGTGGGCTATCTCTCAGGATGCTACGGTATACGTGTTTAAGAAATAAAACTTTACGCGGTGCCAAATATATTCAGGTGGGACTATACTATGATTAGTTCTAGAGCACAGCTCTTAGGCCTCCCCAATTCCGGGTTGAGCGGCGTCAGCCTAACCGGGCATGTTGCATTATGGGACGTTTTCCCGCTAAATTCTAAGGAAATCTTCCCCACTAAATATAGACCTCAATACCAAATCAGTTTCCCCGCTAAATTAAGCGGGGAAAATGACGTCGCGACTTTGTGTCACGTCACCCGTGAACAAATTCAGCGGCAGGAGGAGTAAAGGAGGAGAAGAGGTGGAGGTAGGGCATACCTTCGGTACCCTCCCCTCCTCCTTCTCAAGGGCTGCGCTCTAGTTTCGCATTACAGAGCTTTGTAAGCATCTTTAATTCTTTTTAAACATTGTTCATTATGACAAGATGTCCCAAACTTCGTGAATGACAGGTTATGTTAATGATCATTTTTCAATGATAAGAGCCTTTTTGTGCACTAACAAAGTAGGCATTTTTTAAGGTGCGCCGTAGCATATAAGGATTTTCTTTTCTTGAGCAAAACTATGCACCGGGTGCAGACTCTCTAAGGATCAACTTTTCTCCAATTGAAATTTGCCTCTGCAGTCTAAACCCTGAGCGCAGACTATAGTAGAGAAAATATGGTATACGTGAACAGGAGTTTGCTCATGAATTAAGCGATATAGTATGAGCGAATTAAAATAATAGCCAGCCGACCGGACATTTACGATATGTCCGAGTTACATTAAAGTATGAGTTTGATTTAAAAAAAAAAAAAAACTACTAGTGCACATAAAATATTAAGTGTGCATTTCCACTTGCATAAGCACCGGGTCTACATTGAAGCTTAAAATATTAACACGCTATTAAGCTGAACATATGTTGCCGGCACATGCTAGGGTCAGTACCTGTTGACACAAGGTGCGTTCACGTGAGCAGGCCTTGTACACTGTTTAGGAGCGGGTAAATCGAACAAGCCCAGCATCAGTGCAAAGACGGCACACCTTCGTGGATGTGACCAAAGACGTGGTAGCGCGGCCTGACGCGCCTCTGGATCACGCCAAGGAGCTCGACGCAGCCGACGTGGCAGTCATACACGCAGAAGTCCCCGTGGCCCACGGGCGGCGTGTGGGTCACCAGCACGTCCGTGTCCTCGGGTATCCGGTCCCAGATACTGAGCAGCGGCTGGCCGCGCGACACGTTGAACGCCCAGTTGAGGAAGCGGGGCTGCCTGCAGCGGCACACAACGACGGTCCTCGTTACAACCGCGCTGCCCGAAACGCATCTGCGACCAGTGTGTCGAGCGCATTGAAAAGTGGTCCGGAAGTAACAACAAATGACTTCGCAAAAGCCAGAGTGTCACGCCGTCGGACGTCGCGATCCCGGCAATTGGTCCTCGTAGAAGTTCCGACAAAAAGCATGAGCCAACGCGAGTGTCGCCATCGTTGCAGCGTTCCAACTCCCGGCTGCCAAGGCCTCCGTGAACTGCGGCAGAAAAAGCGGCTGGCGACGGCGTAACGCTTTTACAACGTCGTAGGGCAGAAATCGTTGGACCGCTTTTTCGGATGCGGTAAACACACCCGTCGGAGACGCGTTTCAGACACCATAGTTACCAACAAACTACAGTCGCAACAACCGTCGGAGGATATTTTGAAAGATCCAAGTGGCCCACTGATGCGTAACAAGTCAATCGCCCCCTATGGCGTGTGAATAATTGTTCTAGAGGGCCCGTAGGCTTCTGCGTTCCTTTATTGTTTCGATGCCGAGACCAGGAAAGGTTCCCCAGCTGTCGATCGAGAGGGATGGGGGGTTCCCAAAGGTCAATAAGTTTGAGAACCAATGACCTAGAAGGCCATATGAAGCTTTCTGATACTGTCAGCATCTAAAAGTCTTAAAGCAAAAAGAGTGAAAATGTTTTGTATAATATATATAGGGTCCCCCAAGCAAACCTTGCGGCGTAAGACGAGTCGGAAAAATGGGCACCTGCATGGTAGAAAGCTCAAACTTTCACCGAGCGTTCACTGAGCAGACCAGTTTTACCGCGTGAAATTTAAAGGCACCGTTCTCTTCCTGCAGAAAGTGAGAGAAAAAGACCTACCAAAAGCAAGCTTGGGCATGTTTGCAGACAACCGAGTTAGCGACGCTATTTACTTGTGGTGCCATCTCTTGATAGGCGCAGCAGGCAGACGACGCACACCATTGTCTGCTCGCTGCGTCTGTAGGGCGATGGCGCCACAGGTAAGTAGCGTTAGCATGCCAGCTAGCAGACAGGGAAGGCAATGGTGCTACTTTCCCAGAATCCAGTGACTTTAGAAGCGACAACACGAGAGCCACCGGTCATCCAATAAAGATTGCTTACCAGGGGGACCCATACACCTTGATGCCATAGACGACGGCTTGGCTGTCTTCCAGGTACGTGCAGTGGGTGAGGGACCTCTTGGCATGCTGCGCCACGTCCTGTGGGGTGGAGTGGGCAAAGTTCCCCACCGCAAAGCCCCCCTGGTGGCTGGCGGTGGCGGGGTCAAAGGACAGTTCATGGTTGCCGGCTATCACCAGCTTGTATCGATGTGGGAGCTGTGCTGAACGGGACGAGAGAAAGATGTGAACAGTTCTGTTTCAGGAAAATGCAACATAAGAATGGTTTACATATTTGCATTTGAGTGAAAGAGTGCATTGCATTTGAACTGTTTTACAGAGCCGGCACCATCCATCTTGTAGACCTGGAGCACGACCAACCCGCGTATAGAATTTTATACATTTTTGCACATAATTCTTTCACAGTGGGCCTGAAATAATTAACGTCATAAGCAAATGTTTCCCATAGATAGCGCATCGGCTCCTCTATTACTGCAAAACCTTTAGTTATAGTGTTATGTTGGATGTGTTCCAGGGCCGTTTGAACTATGATAGAAAACAAAGGAGGAACATCTTGTAGAGCAGCTGATCATTTCACTAGCAACCAATCCTGAAGTCACATTTTCTTGTCATGTATACAGAATATCTATGTGTATATGTCAATATGTGATGTGCGTGTATGGTTATAAAATACTATAACAGTATGTTTTCCTTCTATTGCTTCTTTGTCAGCTTTGTTGGGTGTCATGCTTCCGTTCCATAGTATTTATTTAATTTATTTTAGATTTAATATTGCAGAGTTGAAAGTTCAAGCAGAGTGGGACACATGAAATGAAAAGAACACATTCAGTAACCTTACTAGAACAAACAGCGACTTGAACAATTTTTTTTTCAAGCACAAGAAACCATTGTCAGATTACTTCATTAGTAGTGCTATACGGTGTGTGCAAGGCATTTGAGAACATAACGGTGGTTTCAATAGGATGTTTCAACAAAATATTAATCTATTCGCACAGAATTTGGTACAGATACTGTTTTCTATTCGTGGTCTCTAACCTGATTCAATAGAACCACTTTTTGCGGCAATGAGACTCGATGCGGCTTTGAAAACGGCTGCATGCCCTGGTTAAGTGGTCCTTGTTGAGGTTGGCCATAGCAATCACGATGGCAGCCAACAACTCTCTGGAGTTGTGGGGCTGCTTGCTAGTCTCTCTCTCAACGATGCTCCAGACAGTCCAGGGGGTTTACATCTGGAGAGTTAGGAGGCCGCTCGTTAAGGGTGACATGGCCGTGGAGGTTGTCAGCCAGCCAATCTTGTGTAGCATAGGCTGTGGGGCACAAAGTAGAGTCCTGTTGAAAAATGTACGGCCTCCTCTGAGCCACCCCTTCTACCCAAGGTTTCACTACAGTGCCAGGGTCTCAAAGTAGGTCCCTGGGTTGGCCCTAAGGCCCTGTTGTAAGGAGTGTGACGGCATGACGACCCGGCCTCGTTGCCCACAACAGCTAGGACAATCGTAGATGACGAAAACTTTGGCTGGTAGGGGCCTCATCAGGGCCTTCACAGAGCCACCTGTCATTCCTCCTGTTGACTTTTTGGTCTTGGACAAAGTTCTTCTCGTCAGAGAAAAACCAAAGCATGTCCAGTTTTGCAGGGTGCTTGAGCCTGTTCAAGAAGCGCTTGGACAGGATGACACGGTTTTTCTTGTTTCTTTGGGGACATAAACTGCCCTCTCTTCATTATGTATGACTGGTATCTAAGGTCCTTGTGTACCACAAGCCTGATAATGGACCCTGCCATGCCACCTTGAGCTGCCTGGCAATGGCTCTTCCCGACTTGCTGGGGTCGTAGTCCACAATATTCTGCTCCAGCTGGCCAAACTCGGGCATCCCGACCACATCTGACCGCCGGGGATGTTTTTTTTGTTTTTTTTGTTGCTTGAACACGGATACAACGTCCCCTCAGAATCTGAAAGCTGTTTTCTGACCTCGATAACGAGGGACCCTCACACATTCAAGGAGGTGGCTAGATCCAAATCACTGAGTCAGTGGCCAAGGCAACCAGTACGACATGCCTCTTAATTTCTTGCATCAGACCAGAAGCTGCCATTTTGAAATTGGATATGCAGCTCGAAAGCAAGGTCAAGTGCCTAGACAGATGTAGCTGGTATCAGAGCCGTATATGTAGAGAGTTTGGTCAATGGGAGGCGCGGGCAGAGCCAGGGCGTGCGGCAGACTCGGAAAGAGGGCTTGGCATGCTCTCTTGACCAAACAGAAGCCGAAAAGAATCCCCTAGCGGTGGTAGCGAGAAACAGTTCTGAGCCGATCGATCATCGAAGGTCTCTGTTCGTATATGGTTTTAATAAGTGCATAAGAGTGAAGTGTAGTAACTCTTTATGGTTGAAAATAGGGTTCACGTGTTGTTTCATCATCATCATGCAGAAAGATGTAAGAAACAAATGCACCGCTCAACTCTGTTTTGCGCGGACAGAGTGTGACCGCTCTGACGGCAGATTCCCGGCGCTCGGCGTTTGGCAAAAGGATTATGTCGATCTTTCCGCTAGTCGCACTCTTCCACCATCATTTTAGATGAGTGTGATTTAAACATCACGTGTACCATATTTTCAGCCATCGAGAGTTACTCCAATGCAGTTATCAGGTTTGTTTCTCGCGACCACCGCCAGGGTATTATTTCCGGCTTCTGGTTGGTCACATTCGAATTTCTGAAGACGCCCTGGAACACGCCCAGCCCGCTTTCGGCCAATGGCGCCGCTTCATTTGTCTCCTATACTTCCCAACGAATGGCCAAACTCTCTACATATACGGCTCTGGCTGGTATGAGAAGTTATGCAGAGTGAAGTTGTGTTCTCAAAAACCTAGTGCGCACCCTGTATATGTTCACAAACAACACATAATAAATTTAGCTGTGAATGCGGGACATGGAAGGAGAAAAATTGCTGTAATTGACTATAAATTTGCTTCAATCTCGACAATGTGCGGCAGAATAACAGACAGTCGTGTGTGGGAGGGGGAGGGAGAGAGAGTGCGTAAAACAAAAGGAGCGCCCTTCGTGCGCACTGAAATGTGAGCTTGCGTTGTACTGACAACCGGAAGCGTACCCAGACGTGTAGGACGACTACCGTGCACAATAGCCATCGTAAAGAGTACGCGTAAAGGTAGACGGATACCCAAATCGATTCTCTCCTTCGAACATATGATAGGTCAGCTTACCCATAAAGCGATTGAATTCGTCGAGTTCGGTGATAAGGCCCCGCCGCGTAAAGTCGCCCGCGTGAATGAGCACGTCCCCGGCCGGGATCTTGTATCGCATTCGAGCGATGGAGTTGTGCGTGTCGGAGACGCACACGAAGCGTACGGCGTCCGGCCGTACCGGCGCATCCAGCCGCAGCGGCGGCGACACGCGTTCATAGTTCTGGTGCGGCTTGAGCTGAGCCCAAGCGGCGTCGGGATCTTGTGTCAGTGGATGAACTCCGACCGTTGCGCCGGTGGCACCCATCATGGCATGCTCGACGGTACCCGTCACAGTAGTATCGGTGACTGCTTACGTTTTCGCCGCTGCCGGACGTCCACGGTCAGGCCCACCGACAGAGTGTTGGTGGGAACCTGCTACAAGTCGACACTAAAGATAGGACGGATAATATTGGGTATAGCGCAGTCAATTAAGAATCTTATCTTGTCCAGAGCACTCTGTCGGCGTAATCCAAACAGCTGAGCAGCACCGGTAGAGCGATCACCACTTCTGCACCGTCTGCACCGCGGACGGACTTCCGCCAGATTCCACCGCTCCGGCCGCTCCGGCAGCTCCGGTGGCTCCGGCTCGTCGGGTCCGGGTCTATATTGGATTGGATTGGATGTCCCATTGACTTTACTGGTTTTACGGCTACAATTTTGGCTAAACTTAGATCGCGAAAAGACATACGTACTAAAAGCAGAGTAAATAAAAAGTGTTTTAGATCTTTTTTTATGTAAACTTATTTTATTAATTATAAAGATTTTGTTACTATTAATATTATGTACTGTTTAGTTGCTGCTGATTGCATTTTGTGCGGAGCTATATTTTGATAATGGCGGCACCCACAAAATCCGGCTCTCGCCTCTCCTTACACTAAATCTGAACGGTGTTTAGCCGCTTCATCACCTTCTACGGGCCCTGACAAACTACCGTTAGTTGGTCACACTTTTTTTTTTTTGTGGCGACGCGTCACACTCCCAGTCTGCACGCTGTCAGTTATCGTTGAAGCGCCTGCCACAAACATCGGTGCATGGAAACGAACTTCAGCGGCCGATAGTAGTGGCGAAAACGCCGAACCTCCGGGAAGGTCAACGATGTTCGCGTCTCGACTGGCGCGGGACGCCTTCCGAATTGCGTGCGCCACGCCGCTCAGATCCAAGCCATGCCTCCGAAGGATGACTCGGCAGTTTTGCAACGAGGCATCTGGCGGCGGCGGCGGCGATGGGTACGCCAAGCGCGTGGGACTGGGCAAGAAATTGTTCTCCACGGTGCTGTTCGGCGGCACGCTTGCGACGGCACTGTACTTGAAGAGGCGGCGCCGAAACGAACAGAGCGAGCTGTTCAAGGACTGCGTCATGCTGCCGAGGGACGAGAACTATGCGCCCAACTTGTACCTGTACAACTACAGGGGCTACGTGTTTCCCGCGATGGTCATTAAGTCGCTGCCCAAGGTGCAGACACTCAAGGCGAGGCCGGATGACGTCTTCGTCGTGTCCTTCCCCAAGACCGGTGAGCCCTTTGCTGTTAGCGTTAGCAGTGGTGTGACCTGGCGGGATGTGTGACTGACAGGGCTACGAAAGGCTGCATGCAGTGCTTGCTTTGCGCGAGCACTTGCTCTAGGGTTTCCTGTGCCTTCTGCGACGCAGATTTGGCCCTCAAAGTCCTCCCCCTTTCACTTTCCCTTCCCCCTCTGTCTGCTCTGTCAGTTGACACAACGCTACCGTTGTTGACGCCAGCGGCGCAGGCAGAAGCGAGGTTCCGGACCCCCCCCCTTTCCCTTCCCCCTTCCAAACTAACCGAACCCTTCCCCAACCCCTCCACCTTACTCTTCACATCCAGCTTCATCGCCTAAAGCCGTAGTCAACCCTCTCCTGAAAAGTATTTCCTGGCCTCACCACTGTTTAACACTGAGGACATTTGAGCGTAAAATTACATTTTCAAATTCATTTTACTTTTTTTTTTATATTCATTTTACAAGATGTTGGCGATACAAACAAAAAGCCACCAAAATGCAGCTTAACCAAGTCTGCGCCCCCCCCCCCCCCCTCCCCCCCAACATACACATGCACTCATACACCAGAAATAGCACAATATAGCAGTTCATAAAATAGTTATTTAATAAATATTTGGGCAAATGCTGGAGATATAGACGTAGCAAATACGAGACAGAAAAAAAATGTGTTAAAATATACAGCAGAAACACAAAGGGAAAAACAATTGACATATGAAAAGTTTGGTGATGACTAAAAAAAAGTAAAAAGGTTTGTCGTCTAATTATCGAGAGAAGTTTTTTTTTTTTTAATACTATTAGTTTATGTTAAGGAATTTGATAGTAGAGATAATTACAAAATGCCTTGCCTGTCGTAACCTCATAGGTCTCCATGTATTTACTGATATTGCAGATTTGACCACTTGACAAGCATGCTGGTCACTGGCACTAGCGCAACACACAAAGAATTGATTCCGCACCGTGAAACTGTACTCACCTGGTAGAACAGTGCTTTGCCCACCATATTTTTTCCAGTGCGATAACATTTGTGGAACCACTAAGCCACGGAATTGTATGCGTCCATCCGTTGCGGCTCAATGCCTAACGGTAGCGGAGAAACCTAAATTGGTGCATAATTCTTCATAAATTCAAGTTTTCCGCCAAGTTTCGTGGGAACACTTGAATTGGTGTTTAGTTATACACCAATTTAGTTTGGGAGAAATTAGCCTTTTTGGGGGTTTTCTACTCACATAGTTGTAGCAGACGCCTTCGTTTGCAACAACAGTACAGGCATGAGCATGATAGCGTATTTTCCTGGTGTATAGTCCGTAGTCTACACATATTTAAAAGTTGAAATTTTACCCATTGCAAACTATGTACGGGTGTGGACTATACAAAGTTTTGTATTTCTCTAGCTGGGTGAGAAGACGTGAAGAATTTTGTGAATAACAGTACAACAATGGTGATTTATGTATGATGCAAGCTGCTTTGTGAGTTATTACAGCAGGCACTTGTCAAGATGTGCTGTGTATGATAAGTTTTACAATTGGATTAGGTACTAAGTGTGAATTATGCACCGTGTGCACACTATGCATTGTGTGCGGACAATCTAAGGAAAGAAAAATTTCAGCTAAAATCGGTCCCTGCGGTCTATACTTTGGGTGCGGATCTAGAAAATATGGTAGCTGTTTGAAGGTATTTTTAGATCTTTGAAAATGCTTCCCCGTTTGCTGATAGCTGATGCCATACATTTGGGTAAAAGGCTCGTTGGCTGAAAAACGTTGCCACGCCAAGGCAAAATGAAAGCACCAGGCTTGACGGACATCTGAAGAGGTGCAAAGGGTTCCAAATGCTGTTGCATAACATCTCCTTTGGCAGCAGCCAGGACTCAGATTTTTTCTCATCTGAAGCATGCCTTCGAAGGTACGCAGAGGGCAGCACCAGTGGCCATCTGCCGAACACTTACTGTCCACAAACTGTGTACATCTGCAAACATCTCTAGAAGCCATGAATCGCCCCGCATGACGCTTCCTTGCCTCAATTTGTGCGTTCTCCGTGTTGTCACAAAAAATAAGGGACAATAGGGAACGACTTGGCGATGCTTCGAATCGAAGCGACAGCTCTGCATTTGATAGTTTTATCAATATATCAAAATACAGCTGCACGTTATTTTTCTTTTCGTTTGTGCGTTGGCAACCAGCCTGTCGACAATCTTCCCCTAGCATGACAAGAGACGAAATTTAGGACAAAATTTAAAAGGAGGGTGGTAGGGTGTAGATATTTCTAGACTAGGTGGCGCGAGCTACTGCCCGACTCCAGGATTTGGTCACTACTGTCCATCCGTTTGTCCCCTCGTTCTTCAGGCACGACCTGGGTCCAGGAGATTGTGTACCTCATTTCAACGAACCTGGACTTCCGGTCTGCGGCCGCCCGCAACCTGGAGCAGCGCTTCCCGTTTCTTGAGTACTGCTACCCCGGAGTGTCCTCCATTGAGAAGCTGCCCAACGCGCGGCTCATCAAGTCGCACCTGCCCCACTCGTTGCTGCCAGAGTCCATGCACACCGAGAACCCAAAGGTGACCATACTCTGCATTACAACTTCTTCTGCAGATGTTTGCAAGTACGGTCTCTGTGTGGTCCGCCATCTTGGTGCTGGCTTGTGTAGATTGTCCAATAGTCAAGCCTTGCCAAAGCGTTCCCATGGCTGCAAGACTGGTGCCCAAACAAAGCATTTTTCATCCACAGTGGCTAGGCTATCCTTAAAAGTGTGGCTGCTTGCAAATGTGTATAAGGTGACATCTTCGCAGTTCATGCGCAAGAATTTTTGGGCTTAGTGTTGTTCTCTAGAAACCTAATTAGGCATGCCTAGCTTTGAGGATCTGTTTATGGAAATGACTTCATCTTTTGATTATCAATGATATTAAAATAAGGGACGTCTCGCACACGTTACTTTTGTTGCTCATTGCATTTGGCAATTCTCAAGGAGCAAATTACCTTATTTTACATCACTCCTTCAGGTTTGTTGCCATGCCTCACACTTCTTTTTAATGTGCATCACATCCAGAGCATAAGAAAAGGAGCTGTTTCAAAACTAACACAAGATTTTAAAAAAAGGAGATTAATTACTATAAACTGTAAAAGTTTCATTCAGCTATTGTAAATATTTTTTAAAAAATTTCCCGTGGCACATGATTCTTAAGGGGCAAGTTATTTTTAAGAAAAATGTAGTTATTAGTAAGTGTTAACATTAATGAGTCCATGCATTTGCTGGAAAAAATGTGCATTCTCAATAGAGATTTTTATGGCCACTAGGCACCGTTGAACACTTCACCTCAAAATTTTTTTATTTTAATTTTTTTTTCTTGTTCTCTCAGATCATTTATGTCATAAGGAACCCGAAGGACGTCTGTGTGTCCTTGTACCATTTTACGAAGCTCATCAAGGAGACCGGTTACGAGGGCACCTTCACAGACTTCTTTGAATCCTTCATCAAGGGCAATGGTACGTCGTCGAAAGTTCAACCTTGGTAGCGAATAGAAGCTCTATACGGGATGGACAAGTAGGAGAATGATGAACACCATAAAGCATAGAGTCATTCTTCTACATGTCTGTCTTTTTTAGTGCTTTTATTCGTTACAGTGAGTTAACAACTAGGGTAGCTAAAGCCCATACCCTTTAACAGTTAAACCTTGGGCTTCAAAACAAACTAGCACAGCTAACTAGCAAGTATGGAGGTTCGTTGAACTTGTAGACTGGTATATGTATGGGTCATGGGTTGTTAGGTTGCAGTCGCAAGTGATTCAGTGTTGCTTAGGAATAACAAATGGAATGCTGAAAGCTTTTAGGTTGGCCTTCACTTGCCAGACTGATTGTGCAGTTCAGATGTTATCTTTGTAAAGGTCTCCCAAACTGCACTTTACAGACAATCTTCGCTTGTGGATGTGATCACTGAGAGACATTTAAACCTTGAATCATCATCAGACATAATTTTTGGCATGTGCCGAAAATTTTTGGCGTAGCTGGGACTGCTGCATACTTGTCAGCTATACGTTGCTCCAGCAGCCGGATGTTCGAGGAGGATTACATCAACATGTCCTCTGCAAGTTTCATCATTCGACATTTGTTCGGCAGTTTCTAATAAACAGAAGTCCTGGTCAGCCTTGAGCGACCCTCGTATATGTGTCCTGTTCATAATTAATCAAACCGTTATTCGGCAGTTCTCGCCATTAAATTTTGTTTACTGGATTCCCACCCCCGTGGCGTCATGCCCTTCCTTAGAAGTACAATTGTGAACTTATAAACTGGACCAAACTCTTTTGTGCAGTGGCGTATGGTCCCATTTGGAAGCACTACTTGGAATGGTGGGAGCATCGCAACGATCCCAACGTGCTCGTTGTATCGTACGAGGAGCTGCACAAGGTAGGCGGAATGTGCATGCATTGAAACGGCAATTTGGGCCGGTGGGTTTGTGATCACCTATCAGAGTGCCGAAAAGCGCACAAAGACAGGAAAGGAGACAATATGGGGTACTCTCACCAAAAAAAAAAAATGCCCCCCAAAAAATGCATCTTCTATTGTCACTTCATTATCCTTGAGTATTTTCTGGCACTTTATTAGGTGAGCATGCAGGCAGATTTAGTGAGACCGTCTGTAAGGAACCACTTCTACCTGACCTGCTTCCTTTGCTTCAAAATGAAAGAGAATGCATCGAGGCATAGTCAGGCATCAGGTGCTTAAAGGGACACTGACACGGTATTTTTGCTCGCCAAAGTTTTTATTTGTACATGACGTATGAGAGCCCAACTATCCAGAACAAAATATGTAACTCAAAAATCTTTTTTTTTTTTTTTTTTTTTTTTTTCTTGTCTAAAAATTGCCAATTTAGAACTGTCCGGTTTGAGTCGCACTCACCCTCTTCTTTGTGGTCACGTTCAGTTTTCTATGGTTTAGACATAACCACCAAAGATAGTCAAAGTTGTGGGCCGTCGAAGGCACACATTCAATACTAGAAATGGACAAAAAATATGATACCCATTTTTTGTGGCTTCTAAAAAGCTGCAAATATGTTGATTGAAAACCAGAAAAATTGCACAGCCATGTGACTGCCGGTATCTTTCTTCCCCTCTATATTTCTTCTTTCTCTCCAGTCTGGTTCTGGCTTCGAGCGGTTGCGTTTTTTTACTTTATTAAAAATATATGTGATACTGTATCAAAGTATTGATTGGGCAGTCTCCTGACACTTGTAAAATGCCTGGCAAAAAATTAAAAAAAAAAAAAAACATTTGGGGGTGTGTCAGTGTTCTTTTAAAGCTATACGCTAGTTAAACTAGATGTCTGGGTTCAATTGTAATAAAGAAGCCGAAGTGAATATTCTACGCATCAAAACAAAATTGTCAATTATTAAAACCACTTCATGGTCAGTCTCTTTTTTCGTAGTAATTTAAGCATTCTTTGTATTTTTATGATAAATCTTTTTTCTTCGCCATTATTTCGTTGCATACCTACACTGTAATGTCGTAGCTATTGTAAATCGTGCATTGTTCTTCTGTCCCGTTTGTTGTGGCTGTACTCGTTCCATCTTTGGCATCTCCCGGCACATCTAAAGTTTGACGAAGTACCCGTGCGTGCACACCTAGCTGATCAGTCGTGCATAAAGGTAAAATAGAATTGAGGGTAATTATATTAACCAGGAGCAGCTGCAAGTATAGATGTCCTTACAGACAGGACCACTGGCTGAGTGCATTAATGCACCGCGGCTCAGATCATGGGGAGTCAAACCTCGTACCGCAGAACCCAGGGATCCTGGGTTCGATCCTTACCTCCCAACCCCCACCCGTTTCTATCCAAATTACCGTTCTACCGGCGTGCGGTCGTGTAATAACTACCGCATGGTGCATGTTAAAGACTCCAGGCCAGCAGTCTTGCTGCACCGGCTAAATTTCTCGTCTACAGCTGAAGCACCAGGTGTCCACGGAGCTGCCCAGCTTCGCGCTGTCTAAACATGCTCACAACAGAATTACTAGTATGTCCTTACGATTGACGACGTACCTTTTCCCATCTCCAACAGGACGTCTGCAACGTCATTCAGCGAATAGCGCTCTTCCTCGAGAGGCCCCTGAGGGACGACGAGGTCAACGCTATAGCCGAACACTGCCGCTTCACGAGCATGGCCGCCAACAACGCCGTCAACTATGAACACTGGAAGAAGCTTGGCTTCGTCAACCTCGCAGAAGGGGACTTCATGAGAAAAGGTAGCCGAAGCCGACGGTCCACTTTATTTTATGCATGCTTACAGAGCTGCTGGATGCTTACAGACAGTGCGCACCTGCCCGTACCTTGCACAGGCAGGAACCAACACTGGGAGATGTGAAGCGCCTGCACGTGTAGGCCTGTTCCCACAAACATTGCACCGCTAACTCGGCACCATAGACAAAGCGCCGACATTGCGTGTAGTATATTGGTGCTGTGTCAGCACTCTGATGCAGGTGATCCTATACTTCTGTTACCACAAGGGGCTTCTTGCACAAAGAACTCAAAAGCTCTGCATGCTCCCCCGGAAGATGCAGAACCGACGGAAAGTTCTTATTAAGGCTTACTTCTCACACACCCCATTCCCGATTAAATTTAAACTCGTCCCAATCATCCTGGTAAACCTGGGGAACACACAAGTGTATCGTGCGTGTAGTGTGACCAAAACGCTTGGAGCTCCTTGTAACCAAGGATAATAGATGATACTAACGGGCGCATAGTAATGCACACTCGACATACTCTGTTTTCCCCGGGTTTACTATTAGAATGATCAAGACAAGTTTGATTTTTTAAGATGGTAGAAACCTATGCTGTCTAATATTTTTCAAAATTCTGAGAGGGTATTTTTTTGTTCACACAGTGCAACATGCAGCATTTAAGCCCAAGCAACCGAAAGAGAAACTTCTCAAATTGAAGTGATGCAACATATCTGTCGTTATGGCCACTTTTATTTTTTCCTGCTTTTCCGCATGGCACCACTGCTCCAATTATTTTATTGACTGATTCATCGGTAGAGCCCTGTGCGGATAACAATTTTATCATCCGCATCCGCAGACTTAGTACCCGTATCCGAACTGCATGCGCTTCGGAACCGCATTCCACCCTCAATCTGCGTATTCATTTTACATCATAAAATCAAGCATGAATAAAAATTACGAAAGCGTCTGGATGGTATCCTATGTAAGCCGTCTGCTTACTTTTTACCACAAACTCTTCATGTCGGAATATGGTAAAAGTAATTTTATCATATTCTGTTTTATTGTACTATTTATAAAATAGGTGATCATCCTTCCAGAGACACTTTGCATCGCTGGAAAGATGATCGCAGTTATGAAATCGTGTTGGGGGTCCGTGACACTGACACTCTGTCCAAAAGATGCACTCGAAAGGAAGGAAATTTTAGCATGTTTTTCTTTTTTACTTTGTAAAACCCACTTCAAGCATATGCCCATTTCATATATGTATGAAAATTAACAAGTGGCAGACTAATATCATTGTATCATTTTATTTAGGCCAAAGAATAAAAAAGTGAGAGAGGAAAGGTGCTCACTCTCCGCAGCAAGGTAGTCGTGTATATATGGTAAGGCGCGAGTATACCACAGGGAAAATATCACAATATTCAGTATCCTACAAGTTTCAGTTTTAAACACGAACCCTCAACTGCACGCTCGGAACCAATGTTGGGTAAAGTACATCTAAAAATTACTTGAAGTAAAGTACAAAGTAAATGACAGGCGATGTACTTCAAATAAAGTAACAAGTACACCGGGTGCAATGTACTTGAAGTAAAGTACTATAAATAGAATGTACCTTCAAAGTGAAGTACAATTACATTTTAACACAGTCTTTTATATGATGCCCTTCCATTCCTATGCAGTGAATTTTTAACTACTAGTATGCATTGGCCCCAGGGGTAATTGGGGGTGCATCACTTATTTTCGGAAATGGCGGTGAATATTGGGGGATAAAGTCAAGTGGCCACAGAAAGTTACTTTCAGAAATGGTGCCAAATTCACAAGTCTGGCTTTTGAATTCGGCAGCACTTGTGCTGGCTTGTTGCACCAAAGAATCGAGACACTTTGAAGTCGAAGGAAAAGACGGGAGAGGAGAATGACTCAAACCATTGAGACATTCTCCTCTGTTGTCTTTTCCTTCGACTTCAAAGTGTCTTAATTTTACCACATTAGTTTCAGTTGTTACATTATGATCAATTATCCTCTCCTGGTATTTTTAACCTCTGCGCTTGCGCTGACCCAGCAAGAATTAGCGAAAGTTCGCAATGCTATGGGAAAGCCGCCCCCAGAAAAAACGGAGTGATGCGTCATCTTCTCGCATTTCTGGTGAGACCTCCTAGTATTTCTTCAGAGTTGACAAAGCATCATTTTATGATACAAATTTAACAGGACCAAATTTTGGGAATGTACTTTGAAGTCAGGAGCTGTACTTTCTTCAGAAAGTACCAGAAAAAAATACTTAAAAATACTTTAAGTAAAGTATGAGTACATGCCCAAAGAATGTACTTTAAGTAAAGTACAAATTTTCTAAACCTACCTTTTTTTCTAAGGCTAAACTAGTTCCCAACAGTGCTCGAAACCACATATATATGCTTAAAAACAACTCGGCGCCAACTGTCCAAAAAAAAAGACATGCATGCAACGTTTCATTTGTCGATATTGCTGTTAGAAGAAACAGAATATTGTCAACACGTGCGGATTTAGTTCGCCTCTCTTAAATTAATACCCGCTAGTGAGAAGTCTCTCTCCATTGGTGCACTTGATGCTGGGGTGGCATGCACAAACTATGCTACAAGAACGTGGTGCGGAAACTCGGTCTGACGCAAGTTCCACCACTCCAGAGGTTTGACTTTAGTCTCTTCGATATACTTCTAGGTGAAGAAGCTACTTACAGGCTTCTTCTACTTTCTTGTGGCTTGTACATTTTGGGTTTTCTTTGCCCAAAGAATGTTTTCCACTCTTTCCCTGCCAAACAAGAACACGCTTTCCCGAGACGACTGATGCTCTTGCATTCTTTACTTTTTCTGTATTCTGAGACTGCAGCCAATGCCCCAAGCACGAGAGCTCGAGGTCGCTGCTTTGAAGCGTTCTTCCACAGAACGACTGCTCGTGCTAGAAATGCATGTCTCAAAGCTATGAGTGCAGGCTAGCTCGCGCTTGTAGCTCTGGCTGCAGTCTCAGCTTGAACGGAGTATAGACGATTGCAAGCAGAGCGGCTGGCCGCCACTATGCTTTTGCTTGTGCGAACATGCCCGTGCAGTTGCAAGCTTGTCAAAGCTATGTTCGTGTGTATCATGCACGTGCTTGCACGCATGGGGCACCAGTCGGTGCTCCATGCTTGCAATTGTTTAGACGCTTTACAGCAGCTGTGCATGGATGCCGCCATAACCGATCTTCAGTTTTCGTTTCCTCTTATATTTTTCACTTCGCGCCATCATTACCACAGGAGGACAGGTTACTAACATTTTAGATATGACGGTGTCTTTTTCCCCAGCATTTGCCTTTGTCGAGGCTCGCCAAAGCCCGCTTCAGTGGTTTGATATCTCGGTAAGACAATAGAAGGTCGGCAATGGCGTCTGTAATCTGGCGCGTGTGTTCAGCATCTATAGATGATTGCAAGCAAGGCAAGTGGCCGCCATTGTATCTCTTCTGGTGCGGGCAAGCCCGTGCAATTGCAAGCTTGCGAAAGCTATATTAACGTGCACGCTGCATGGGCATGCACACATGTGGCACCATTCGGGTTAATGTGCTTGCCATTATCTATAGGGGCATCATTTTTGGCGAGAAAGAACGTTCTAAAGCGACCTTCGGCGAGAATCAAATCTTTTTTTAGTTAAAGAACAATTTTCTTCCCGCCTTGCACCTTTCTATCTAAGGGAGTAGTTTGCTCCCGCAATACATTCGATGATGCACCTCATAGTATCACTCACTTATTTACTCTATACTGTGCGGTCGCATATGTTTATAGGGCGCCTCGGCAAAAATGTAGGTCCAGACCCGCAGATATCCGATCCACATCTGGAGCCCCTGTCATCTGATCCGCAATCCGCCAAGGCTGATTTATTTGTATCCGCATCCGCCAGTTTACTGCGGATATTCATGGATGATCTGCAGGTAGTCCTCATGTATGCAGGGCTCTACTCATTGATATGTAACAAAGAAATATGTCTGCTACATATTTCAGTCGTTAGGTTAAACGCTGAAGTTTTGAAAACTGCCATTTTCTTTTTTACTGGATACTAGTGATGGGTCGAATTTTTGCCGAATCGAAAAATTCAGCGCCAAATTTTGGGATTTGACAAAGCTGAACTTCTGCCGAACGTGTCTAAATATTCGGCAAAAATACATTGTTACCAGACTTGCGTTGATATTTATTTTTTTTCTTGCAAAAAAAGGCTTTATGGTTTTTGTTTTCTTAACTTAAATGGAAAATGTAATGCATATTGACACAGTTATTACTAAATAAGGTGATATTCTACAAGATAATTGTATCGGTGTCATTTTTGTGCGTTTACTGGCAATTTTACAGTGACTTCTTGTAGAAGTGTTGGGACAATGAGGTTGGCTAAGAGCGGCTGCAGTCTTGAATCATGATACGAGAGTTTCAGTTCTGAGGCCTCATCAGCGCAATCCTGGAAGTGTGTGTACATTGTTACAATAAAGGCAATAACACTGCGTTCTTAATTTCTCTGGAAGTCACTGTTGAGCGCAAAAAGGAATGCAGTGGTTGCTGAGACTTCACCAGAAGAGAAAACAATATTATTGTAAATATGCATGTTTTTTTATTTGAGTCACTTTAGCTTTGCATGCAAGTGTGCGTCCCATACTGGCACCATCTCGTTTCTAACCTTTAAAACGCCGGTTTCTGATGTTAGCACACACAAATGTTTAGGAACATGGAAAGAGTTGGGAATGTCGGATGTGCAACATCGAGCATGGTAGTTCTGTGTTTAGTTTTATGCAGATACATAAAAACCACGAAATTGCGCTAATTAAAAAGCAATATTATTTTGTTTTGTCACAAAATACTTGTGAGCCGAAAACAGGATTGCTATAATTGGGTGGAGTGCCTTAAAGTAAATGTCAGTCAATGTTTCAACTACCTCGTTGCATCACTGGAAAAGTCAAATGAAAATCATGTTATCCAGAATGTACCGCATCATTGGTCACTTGCGCCCAGTAGGCTGCGTAAACTACTCGCCAATATTCTGTTCTTGAGGCAGAAAATATAGAAGAGAACCACACTCGCGAAGGCTCACAAATGTACAGTTACCGTGTTGCCTACTCCGCACCTCGCCGTAACTACCGATTGTACTACACTGCATGACGGTAACCACACAACCGCATGGCATCGATTTGCAATCCATGGCCCCGTCACATTCTCGCGCATATGCAGACATTTGCCAAATATTTGCCGATCTTTCTTCAAAAGTTTGGCATGTGCCGAACTTTGCCGAATCTGAAGTTCGGCAGATTCGGTCCATCACTACTGGGTACCCACAATCGTTCAGAGCCTACATCATTGATGTGTCGATGCTGTCTTGCAATGCGTCTTGATTAGAGATCAAATCTTATATAAAGAAAGGACCCATTGTTATGTGTGCATGTGGAGGGGGTTAGGATGTCTGGACCACCCCAAAAATTTAGGGTGAGAAAAAAACCTTGGTGGGGGGGGCATGCTATTATAGACATTTGATAGGCAACCCCCCCCCCCCCCCCCCCCCTTCCTAGAAACACCTGCATCTGCTCCTGTGTGGGACGATGAAGTATGTCTGCTGCATATGTTTATCATGAAGTTAAACAGTAAATTTTACATCATGTTCTTTTAGAACTGCCGTGTCATTTTAAATTTTTTTTTCTAGATGTCCACAATTGCTCAGAAGGCCCCATGATAGATGTCTAGACACAGTCTTTGCTATGTTTCTTGATTATATAACACATCTTTCTTAAGAAACATTTCATCCAAACTCCTTTCTTTTCTTCTTCAGGTATTGTAGGCGACTGGAAGAATTACTTTACTCCTGAAATGAATGTGACGATGGATGAGTGGATCAAGGACAAGTTTGGAGGCACTGGAATGAGCTTTGTTTACGAGTTGCGGGATGAAGTGACGGATGGCGAGGAAGTGTAATGTAAGAAACTAACATGACTAAATTGACCAGCTCTTCAATGCTCTGTGCTGGTGGCCCAGGAGACATGGATACTTGCAATGTAGCACAGGTTTTTGCATTTGAAATACTAGTAGTCAATTTGAGAGATTACTAGTACTTTTTACCAGTCACAAAGTCCAAGAGGTCAACTTGAAGGTCTATCTTTGGTGTTCGGTGGTGCCCAGTGGTTCTTGTTTCTGTTCTAGGTTTTAATAAAATTGTTGACTTATGAGCTATTTATGTGAAAGAAATGATAAAAGATGTTACATTGGTTGCATTGCATCAGTCACAATAGTTGCATGTGAAAGAAATATTAAAGGATGTGATACTTGTTGCATCAAAGTTATGTTGGTTGCATGGATATCTTCACAGACAGAAGCTGCTATTCTTTGCAGTGCTCAGTAAGACTACTTCTTCATTATCGCATGTAGTATACATGGCTTACATTGACGTCAAATCGGCCGCCATTGCACCATTCCACGGACCTATCCTGTACCTTCTGCTGCATACATTTTGCACCATTGAATTAGAAGAACAAATTCAATGGTGCGAAATATATGCTGCAGAAGGTACATGCACAAGAGCCATGGTAGGGAGCAATGGTGGCTAGTACAGTAACATATTATGTCAAGTTCAAAGCATGTATTGTTTTAGCTCTTTTTTTTTTATCTTTTTGCAGTTTATAGAGGGGGCAGAGACTGTATACACGCAAAGAATGTCTTCTTTTTTTTATTGGGAGAATATGGCAAGTCGTAGCAATTCATTAGAGTGCCTCAAGTTTAGAGAGGAAGCAACTCTAACCATGGAGAGCGTTTGCAATATAATGGTGGGCGCCTCTTTCACAGACTGGTCGGAAGTGCGCATGCGTTGCATTGTCGTGTGGCGACGAGTAAAGCAGGTGGAGGCGCTTACAGGTGGGCAACGGTTTTGGTCGTCACCTCACCCACGAGCTTCATTTCAACATCGTCAATCATCTTGTATAATTATATTGGGGTTCCGGAAATTTCATCGAATGCCGTTTCATCGAAAAAATGGACGTTTCATCGGACGCCGTTTCATCGAATCGCTGACGGCCATTTCCTTGAATGTCTTTTAAATAAAAAGTATGAAAGGTGTTCTTTTATGCACGAATAGAGTGCATTTTCGTGTCATTCACCCATTTCATCGTCAGGTTTTTTAATGTCCAAATTAGCTGTTACAATTTATTTTGATGCAAGTAACCCATGAGGATATTTGTACCGATCTTTATGTTTGTTTTGCACATTGTGCTTATCTGTTCAACCCCTCTGTATTGCCCGATGGGCCTTGAGGGCGCACTCCAACTGATGGAGGCCAGAAGGCGACTTTGGTTTTGCGCAGGTGCAACAACTTTAGCCATGTGAGCCTCCTAGCCTCTCATGTCTTTCTATTGATACTTTTTTACTGCCCGAAGCTTGCAGTAGCTAAAGCTGAGGTGCTATTTATAAAACTACAACAAAACATTGTTTTTTTTTTGTTTTTTCTTTAGTTTTAAGACTCAGTGAAGTCAAAGGTAAGTACGTCACTTAAAATTTTATTTGAAAATTTTCGGGGGTTCATGTGTTTGTGCGACAGCCATTCACCGTTTCAAATGATGAGCAATTGCTCTCAACAAGTCCCCCACAGCCATGGTCTGTCGGTTCTCATAAAAAAAGGCGGACCTTCTCATTCCTTGCCGCTATGGCCATCTTCTGGCGAGGAGGCTCTTGGGAACTCGGCATCGCCTCTAGCTTGTCTTCCGTCAGTTGATGTTCTGTGGCGATGCAAGTCAAAAACTTCCAGAACCTAGGATGGGCACCTCCGAGCAGTTTCAGGAAGCGGGAATGCCACCCTGGCGTTCGATAAGACTGCGTTCGATAAGACGGCATTCGATAAAACGGCGTTCGATGAAACGGCTTCGATGAAACGGTGTTCAATGAAACGGCGTTCGATGAAACGGCATTCGATGAAACGGCGTTCGACGAAATGTCCGGTCCCATTATGTCGGCCCATAATCAGCTTTTTTTTTTCTTTTATAGACGCGGCACCGCTGGCCTTTATGGTACGGGCTGTCGCCTTTCTGCGGTACCGTGGCTCTCCTGAGTCGTTAAAGGTTACTATTACCTCGCAACTTGTACTTGAAGCACGACCCATAAGCCACGTGACCCGGATAGAGCAGTTGGAATCGCTCTTGAATCTAGGCACCACTACATACTACGGCGTGAAAAATGAGTGATTCGTCGTCACCGCCGAGAGGCAAACTTGATGAGGTATACAAAAATCTAAAAATTTCGCAAAAAAGAAAAAAAGAAATGGTTGCCTCTTCCTTCTGCGAGGGAGTCGCCAATTTTCCTCTACACTCGGCGATAACTTTTCTTGGCAATGCAGTGGAGAGGAGGAGAGCCCGCGCACAGCTTTATTCAGCGCTCAAATGGGAGAAGGAATGCGTGCCTGTACCTTCCATTACATTGCCAAGTTGGCGTAACCCCGGCACTGGGCCCAGTGGGAGGCAGGGTGGAGACTTTGTGCCGGAGCCACGCGGGTGGGAACCCCCAATTTCCCTCTGTCCCGCCTGTCCCCAGCTGCACTGCAGCTGTTTGAACTCGGCGGCAGCAGGGTGAACTCGGCGGTGCGGACGCTTACGCAAAGATTATGGAGGCGCTGAAGATAACATGGGTAAAGCTGCATTGTCATGTTTCAAAACGGAGCAGGCTTTATTTACAGGAATGCGGGCGTGGTGGCTCACTGTTCTACTGTCGTCGTAGTTGCGGCCCACCAACTCCCTCAGAGCACACAACTTTCTTCGCTTTTTGAGGTACCACTGCCAGTGATGTGATTGCTGCGCCAATTGCGCCAAACTGCGCCAAGGGGCTAACCCTGCTACATCCTGCTACATTTTGCCAAAATATGAGTAATCTGCGCCAGGCCTGCGCCAAACGACCAATTTTGGTCGCCTTTCAAAGCCGAAACTAAACTGAGTGCCGTAAATGAGCACGCGTGAGCTAGGTGGCGCAAGCGGCCGCCCGACACAAAGTACCCTGCATCAATCGTTCATCCGGTCTTGCATGGTTTTTCCCGCCGTCTCTCGTTTCGCGTTCTCATTGTCTCGCGCCTTTTTTGAAAAGTTTCAGCGATACACGTGTTCATGTGCCGACGCTCCGACGCTAGCGTGCCGGGTACCAGCCATGCCGTCATGCTTTGAAACGAAATTACGTTTTTGTGCGGCGGGAGTTACTTTGTGAGCTGAACCACTCGCTCCTGAAAGCAACAGCCGTGCGAAAACTATATTTGGTCCCTGCCTGCCAGTCACCGTGGTCGCGCGACGTCGGGTGTTGCCGTCCCCACGTCGCTGCAGATATGGCGCTTTCTAAAATGAAACTAAGTACCGCCACAAGTTCATCAACATTCCTGTTCTTGTTTAAATCACGCGTTACTACAAAAATCTACCTTTAACTCAAGGACTGATGTGTCGAAGTATTGATTGCCTACGTTTCTCTCGGTGAACCTTCTTTCGGGATGGACCCCGGTACGTGAAAAATCTGCCGCGAAAGAAAGTTGGTGAAGAGAAATGAGCTAAAGCAAACAAGGCAATGTCTGCACTCTGAGCCCGCACAGCGCACATGTTTGCCTTGAGTTCAGAAGAACTTTTTGATCCTGGCTCGCGATGTCTTGCATCGATGTGCTCAGGTTCTTTTTTTTTTTTTTTCTCTCTCTCTCTCTCTCTCTGTGTTTAGCTTGTACCTCGCGTGATGGCCTGGCATGCGCTAGACTGTTTTTTTTTTTTTTTTTTTGTCGTATGCTGGACAGTTAGATTTTGCAAACAATTTCGGGAACCAGTTGGCGACAGAGCAAAGTGGCATGGTTTCGATCGAACAGCCATCTCCGCTCGCGCGACAATATTGCATTGCATTGCAGTAGGTACGGGTTTAATCAGTTGGAGACCTCTTCCATTTATTATATAACTAGTCTACCTAAAACTGTGCTATTTACTACTAAGCTGGTCATTTTCAAATAAATTTTAATAAGTGCAGTTTGGTTCTTATTTAACTATAGTTGGCACATATATATGTATAACTTAACTGAAGCATTGCAAAATGTGTCATGTCATAGGCATTTCAGTTACATGTTGAAAGACTCCCAGGTGGTCTAACTTGTCTATAATTTGTTTATTGCGGCGAGCAAAGTGTCCTTCGTGTGTCCAGCACTTAAAACAGTTAAGAATATCTGCTCCAAAAGCCACTTTTGCTGCTCCGAAACACTCTTTTAGCTTCTCCAAAGGCCACTTTTGCTGCTCCAAAGACCACTTTTGCTGCTCCAAAACACTGTTTTGGCTGCTCCGAAAGGTGCTCCAAAACGGCTTAGGCCAATCACATCACTGCACTGCGTTACCAACGCAAAAATGAAAAATTAGGGCAAGCGTTCATGCATAAGCACTTGGCAATTTTACAAGCCGCCATTAAAATGGCCGAGACACCGGAAGTTTAAATTTAGATGTCGTCAGTAACAAGTCGGCAACGTCACCGCTCTAAAGTTCCTGCTGGAAGCGCGGAAGAGCGTTTTAAGCGTTCGGTGTTCCCCCTTATCATGGATTACCTGATCACACAGATGGGAGATTTAAAAAGCACTGGCGTACGTTTTATTTACTTTCGACGCTTCTGCCTTCAAAGATCTCAGAAAGCGGGGCAGCTCTCGGCGCTGGAGAGTTTTCGGAGCTCGAAACTCCAGCGCGAAACGCATGTACGACGAAACCGTCCGATCAGGCAATACGACGGTCGGAGGCGAGGGTTTCAACGCTCTCCGGTGCTATGTCTATGAAAACCCTCTCCCCCAAGGTCATTCCGGCAGTCCGCACGTCGGATCGGACGGTTTCGTCGTACATGTGTTTGCAATGTGAGCTTCTCATATGGGCTGCAAAATGCAAGAGGGAGAAACGTGAAATGCCCGTCGCGTGTGTGGTACTGGCGGTTGAAAACGTACCTGAGAGCGTCCACTTCGAATGAGCGACTGCTCGGTCTAGCGGTTTTGAATGTTCACCGCGACATTGAAGCTCAAGCGGAGGACGTTCTGGATATTCTTTGCCGCGAACGCAGGTGGCTGCATCTCAATGTGTAGGCGCTTGACATAAATGGGATGATCAAGAGAGCCCGTAAATTGCTGTCTGAAATTACCAGTCACAGTTACTTTTTTATTCGTGGTAATTTACGGCGTGCTAAAGAACGCTACTACTTCAAGGTGTTCAAGGCAGCAGAGGGGTGTACGGACGTCACGTGGAAGGAGTTCAACTCTCTTTCAAATTGAAAGAGCATTTTGTGAATGTTGGAAGCGGGATTGACTGCAAAGTCTTGTG